ATTTGTTCTTTCCGCCTACGTTCTTTGTCCTCCTTTAATGGGTCCCCAGGGGGCTACCTCGGGGCTCCTCCTAAGCAACAATAGTCGTGAAATCACGGGTCTAATGAGCTAGTTAACTTTTTCTCCCCAAATGCATTAAAATAAATGCATGACAATTATAAGAGGTCACCTGGAAATCGGCTCAAATGCTACTTTGGGAACCTGTGATCTAGACTCTGAGGATGAGGGGACATCTGCCCAAAGGAAGTCAATTGTCAGCTAAGACTTGAGGCGCAGCGGTTAAGTGCTCAGGTTCCGCTTCTCGGCAGCCCAGGGTTCACCGGTTCGGATCCCGGGTGTGGACATGGCACCACTTGGCACGCCATGCTGTGGTAGGCGTCCCATGTATAAAGTAGAGGAAGATGGGCACGGATGTTAGCTCAGGGCCAATCTTCCTCAAAAAAAAAAAAAAATTAAAAATTAAATAACATAAAATCAGGAAATGTAACATGGATACAATAATACTGTTTGATCCACAAATTCAGATCTCTCCATTCATCTCAATAATGTCTTTGTTTTTTCCTCCCCAAAGCCCCAGGACATCGTTGTAAGTCCTTCTAGTTCAATGCGAGCTGCTGCCACAGCATGGCTACTGACAGACGGGTGATGGGGTTCCACGGCCGGGAACTGAACTCGGGCCACTGAAGCGGGAAGCGCCCAAATTTAGGTCCTTGATAGCAGTGTTTCCCCCAGGCCAGGGTGCCATCCTGGATCACACGCCGTAATGAGTCACGTGGCTGCAGGACCTTAGGAAAGGGGGCCCTGATCAGGTGCACCCCTTGCTGGCCTCCCTCTGGCTGACACGAGAAGAGACTGGAGCAGGGGGACCAACCAGTGAGAAGCTAGCGCCCATAGTCAGAAAAGGAACTTAGGAATCAGACAGGCCCCTGTTCAAATCGTGGTCCAATTATTCAATAACTGTGGCTGCAGGCGAGAGACTGGACCTCACTGAGCCTCAGTTGTTCCATCAGAAAGATGGGATTTACCCCCAGGCTCACTGTGAGGCCCAGTGACATGCTGAGCACAGACCCAGCAGGTCGGAAGGAATCAATTCCCCACACCGTCCCATCATCACCGTTTATTCCCGTCAATCACCAGGAGCTGGAACAGCCCCAAGTGCTCTGATCTTCAGGTGGGGTTGCTTTTTGGATCCTCGCAACAAAAAAAAAAACACTTATCAGCAGATACTATCATCCCCACTTTATTTATTTATTTTTTACTTTATTATTATTTTTTTTTTTTGGTGAGGAAGATTGGCCCTGAGCTAACATCTGTTGCCAATCTTCCTCTTTTTTTTTTTCTTTCCTCCCCAAAGCCGCAGTACGTAGTTGTATATTCTAGTTGTAGGTCATTCTAGCTCTGCTATGTGGGATGCCACCACAGCATGGCTTGATGAGTGGTGTGTGCGTCTGCACCCAGGATCTGAACCAGTGAACCCTGGGCCACTGAAGCGTAGTGCCTGACCTTAACCACTGTGCCCCCCGGCCAGGCTCATCCCTACTTTATAGAGGAGGTGTCTTGGTCCCTTTGAGTTGTTATAACAGAATGCCTTAGGGTAAGCGGCTTATGAGCAAGAGAAATTTATTTCTCCCAGTTGTGCAGGCTGAGAGTCCGAGATCAAGGGGCCAGCCCATCAGGCGTCAGGTGAAGGCTCCCTTCCTGGTTCCTAGACGGCCGTCCTCTCAGTGTCCTCATGGGTGGGAGGGGCGAGGGAGCTCTCTGGGGTCTCTTCTCAGGGCACAAATCCCATGCGGAGGGCTCCACCCTCGTGACCTACTCCCCTCCCAGGGCCCCACCTCCTAACACCATCGCCTTGGGGCTTGGCTTTCAACATATGAATTTGGGGGGGGGGGACAGACAAACATTCAGTCTATAGCAGGAGGAAACTGAGGCACAGAGAGGTAGAGTCTCTCCCCTGAGGCCACCCAGCTCTGGAAACAACAGAACCAAAATGAAAACTCAGTCCTCCGTCGCTGGCCTGTCCATACGGTTGTTGTCAGTCTAGGCAAGAGATGCTGGTGGCCTGGACCAGGGGGGAGACGAGGGCACTGACCCCCAGGGAGGTAGAACGGTGACCGACTGGGAAGGGGGCTGAGAAAGTGGGGGGCACCCAGGCTGAACCCCTCGTGAGCGCTTAAGAAGCAGCACTTTCTTGCAGGCAATGGTGGGAACCAAGGTGAGGCCGAGGGACCGGCCCCTGACGATGAGCGGGGACGGGATGGGGGCCTGGAGAGTGAGGGATGTGATCGATTCCCCCCAGAGCACCAAAGGGACCCGCAGACAGAAGCGAAGGTTGAAGTCAGGGGACGGGAATGTCGAGCCGGGGAGGCGGCCGTGGGTGATGGGACGCAGGCTCTGCGGCTCCCGGGGAGGCGGGAACAGCGAGCATCCCCGTCCCCTGCCTCCGGGTGGCCCTGCCCCTCCCTGGGCCGTGTCACCGTGCAGCTCCTCCCGTCGACAGATGGAATCTGCTTCCCCAGCCCCCGAACTGGACCCCGCAGCTCGCGGTGGCCGGTCGAACGCAGCCAGGCGAGCGTGTCCGGGTTCCCAGACGACGCCTTCAGGGCCTCTGAGGGTTTCTCTTCTCGCTCTGGCTTCTCTGCCTCCTCCGCAAGAACATGCCCGGGCCGGCCCGCGGCGGGGTGCGGGATGCGAGGGAAAGGTCGAGAAGAACTGAGTCATCCCGGCTGGAGTCATCCTCGACCAGCCGGCCTCTCGAGGGCCCGCCAGACGACGGCAGCTTCATGAGCGAGCTCCGCCGGGGTCCACAGAGCCTGGCCCGGATTAGCAGAACTGTCCAGAGGACCCAAAGAGACATGAGAAAAAAATAAATGGTCGGGGGCCAGCCTGGCAGCAGAGGGGTTAGGTTTGCACACTCTGCTTTGGCAGCTGGGGGTTTGCCAGTTCGGATCCTGGGCGTGGACCTAGCACCACTCGTCAAGCCACGCTGTGGCGGTGACCCACATAAAATAGAGGAAGATCAGCATAGATGTTAGCTCAGTGCCAATCTTCCTCAAGCAGAAAGAGGAAGATTGGCAAGAAGTGTTAGCTCACGGCCAATCTTCCTCACCAAAAAAAAAAAAAAAAAAAAGGGAGTCGGGCATGGTCAAAGAATAAGAGCTTCAGAGCTCGTGCCACTTGCTAGCTGATAGCTGTTATTATCGTTTAAATAAAGGAACGGTGGTCTTAATTCTGGAGGAATTGGTGATCTGGCGAATTTCAGGAAATGAGGTGACAGGTTCTGGTGGGAGGAGGGGAGCGCCGACCTCAGCCCCCACGTCACCGGCGCCAAAGTCGGCTCTGACCCACATCACCTTTGTGGCACCCTTGCTTCTTCTCTGGACCGTGTGCAGGGCACCACCAGGATCTTGGTCAGGAAGGGATGGTGTCCGTGAACCCGGATGTTTCTGTCGAAAATGAACGTCCTGGGTGTCCTCAGACACAGGACACACAGGATTTCATTTTCTTCGTGGAAGGAGCTGTACTTTGTGACCTCCGAGCCTGGGTCCTAAACCGATGTGGCCTGTGTGGCACGGCGGGAGGCCATCTGCCAGGCCCGTGCTGGTGCTGCTTGGGCTCAGTAAACCCGTTTTTTTTGGGCTGGACATTCACCATCATTAAACAAAACAAAATCCCCCACAAAAGGATTTTTGTGTGTGTGCATGTGAAGGAGATTGGCCCTGACCTAACATCTGTGCCAACCTTCCTTTTTTTTTTTTTTTTTTTTTGCTGAGGAAAACTGGCCCCAAGCTAACATCCATGCCAATCTCCCTCTGTTTTATGTGGGATACCACCACAGCAGTGAACTTAACCACTACGCCACTGGGCCGGCTCCAAAAGGATTTTAAGCAGATGGAGCTGAAATGACCCGGAACACGTTCCCCGACTCCCACCCCTGACATTAACTCATTCAAAAGATATTTATGGCAGCGTCTTGCTGAGGCCAGGGGAGTGTCGTGCTGAAGAGCGCAGGCCCTGGAATGGGGACTCCAGTCTGCATCCCGGCTCTGCCACCTCCTGGCTGTGTGCCTTGGGCAGGCCGGGCACCTCTCCATGCCTCAGTTTCCTCATGGGTACAGTGGGCATAGCAGGATCTGCCTCCCTCCCTGAGGTGGGTAATGTGAAGGGCTCCCATCAGTACCTGGTGCTTTTCTGTTGTTACTGGAGGGCCCTGTCGGGTCCTGGGGACACAGTGACCAGGACGAGCGTGGCCCCTGTCCTCACGGAACAAGCAGAGGAGACACGTAGTTCAACATTCGTTACACAGAGCAAGTGATTTCATTACAGCGGAAGCCAGAACCCGAGCGCCTTTCACCACCTCTGGTCCCACCGCTGGAGTCCAGGCCGCCGTCACCTCAGATGCGGTCAACTGCCGTGAAAGGTCATTCCAGGCAGGGGTCAGTAGGGGACATCAGAGTGACTGGGGACAGGTGGTGGGGAGCAGGACCCTCACCAATCTCAGAGCATCGCGTCTCAGACTGCTGGACGCAGAGGGGAAGAGGTTCCTTTATCACGAGAGATCTGTCACCCCTGGGGTTGCTGAAATCCATCCCTCTTCCGAGCAAGAGCTGGAGGGCTCTCATTTGCCTTTTTTTTTTTTTTTTTTTGCTGAGGAAGATTGGCCCCCGAGCTAACATCTGTTACCAATCTTCCTCCTTTTTTTTTTTTTTTTTTTTTGCTGAGGAAGATTAGCCCCGAGCTAACATCTGTGCCCATCTTCCTCCACTTTATATGGGGGTCGCCACCTCAGCATGGCTGACGAGTGGTGTAGGTGCACGCCTGGGATCTGAACCCATGAACCCTGGGCGCTGAAGCGGAGGGCACAAACTTATGCCACAGGGCCGGCACCCCTCATCTGCCTTTCAGGAAGGACAACAGCAGCTGATGTGGGGCCAGATGGTACAGGGGGGAGGAGGAGGGGAAGGAGGGGGAGGAGGAAGGAGAAAGGGGAGGAGAAGCAGCAGCAACAGAGGAGGAAGTGGGGAGGGAAGGAAGGAAAGCAAGGAGACGACTTCAGTCCTGGAGAGCGGGATGGCGCCCAGGGGCTGGGGGACCGAAAGGGCGTCAGTGGGGAGTGGGCGATGAAAGGGGAGGTGGTGAGGGTGCCAGTGCGCTGGGGATGGGCCATGAGGGGGTGCCCATCTGGTGGCTGGTTTGCACAGGGAAGCATGGGACAAGGTCATCCGCTGGCGGGCAGGGGTCGGGCGGGGGTGGGGGGAGGCCTGGAAGGAGATGTCCCTCGTGTGAACCAGCAGAAAAGCCAGCGCCAGAGATGCAGGGAGAAGGCCCTGTGCCCGCCTGAGGTCTGTGATGTCTCCGATTCAGGTAAAACCCGTCGGGCTGGCTGGGTGCTGCCCTCCCGCTGCGTTCCGCGGGCATGGAGGGGACAGATGGCTGGAGGCTGGCCTGGTGCGGCCTCTGCAGGACGAGCGGGGCAAGGAGTTGGAGGGTGCTTGGAGGAAGCGGCTCAAAAGATGACTCAGGAAGCGAAGACGACAGGAAAGAGCGGTGGAGAGGAGAAGCCGGGGGTCAGGGTGGACCCCTGACTCCCTCTGGAGGGCGTCTTTTGCCTCCGCTTCCCTGGGGCTTCTCTTTTTCAGGGTTTTCCTTCCACTTCCCTGGTTCCTCCTTCGCAGTGTCTCCACTGATTGACTTCTCCTCAAATGCCTGTGCTTCTCCGGGGGCAGATTTGGGTCCCGTTGGCCTCTCCTTTTCTGCGGGGTTTTCCCAAACACTCTCGCACCGGCCAAGGGTTCGGGGACCACAGACAACCTTGGTCCCAGTGTGAGAAGCACTGTCCCCCTCTGTTGAGAAGACCGGGTGGTCTGCAGGCAGGTGGGGTGATCGGCCCTCGCCGGCCGCGTGGCCTGGGGCCCCCTGAGCGGGCAGGCCTTCCTGTGGCCACAGACGCGCTCCCCGAGCCGCCCGCGCCCCTGATGGCCGGGGGCTGTCAATCAAACCGGCCCGGGCCACACGCCCGCCCGGCACAAGTTCGGCCACACGAGGGGGCGGCTTCCGGAGGACGAGGTTTCCCACCCCCGGGAGAGTCTCCCTCTGCGCCGTCAGGTGTCATCAACCTCGGGACGGCTCGGCCACCCGGAGGGCACCCACACGAACGACTCCCATCAATACCACCGACTAATTACTTATTTACGTTAATCATTCTGTTAATACAATAACTGTATACTACATATTTTGGTGAGGAAGATTGGCCCTTACCTATATTAATATAGAATAAGATATATATTAATTAATATATAATATTAATTATACAATTAACAGGTATATAATTAATTACACAAGATATTTTATAATTAGTTACATTGCATTAATATATTAATTATCATATTAATTATTATAAAATATTATGTATATAATTAATTATATTAATAATATAATAGTATATTAATTGTTATGTTATATTATAAAATATATTTAATATATAATTATGATATATTATAATATAATATAATAATATAATATAATAATAATATATAGTGAAATAATTAATGTAATGATAATAATATAATAATATAATTAAGATATTATTAAGATAATCTTATCTTAAGATATCATTTTAATATAACAGTGTAACATATTATATTATATTAATATAGTATTATTATATTATATTTAATATTTAATTATATATAATATATCAAAATACATTGTTTAATACATTATATTATTATATATTAGTTATATTTATATTATAATTATATGTTATAATATATTAATTAAAATATGTTAATATAAAATATAAAAAGAATTAACTGATTATATATTAATATATAAAGAAATAGTTATTAATATATAAGAAATATATAAGAAATAATTATTATATAATTATATAAATAATTGTTAATATTAATATTATTGACATTTGGGGGACAATCGGGGAGATCTGAATATGAACTGTATATTACATAAAAATCACTGAATGAATTTTTCTTTTCTTTTCTTTTTCTTTGCTGAGGAAGAGCGGCCCCAAGCTAACACCTGTGCCCATCTTCCTCTCTTTTGTATGAGGGACGCCAGCACAGGGTGGCCGATGAGCAGTGTGTGGGTCCATCCTGGGGTCCTAAATCTGCCAACCCCGGGCCGGGAAGCAGAGCTTGGGAACTTAACCACTATGCCACCAGGCCGGCCCCCAAAATCACGGGATGGATCTTAATGTCGTGCAGGTTTCTCTTCTGGCCAAGCCTAACCCGGAACCACGGATGGAAGGGCGCTCCGAGACACAAGGCCCTGCCTCAGCTACGTTGTCACAAGATGCAGCCATCGCGGGCGCAGAGGGACGTCTTTGTCCATCAGATGGCGGCCCTGCCCCGCGTGTGGCCCTCAGTGGGGTCCAGTGACTTCACGAGCCTCGAGCTCCCTCCTGGGGCACCGGGCTCTGCGATGTCTGCTCCCTGACCTCAGCCAGGACCCCCTCGCCCGTCCCGGCTGCACTGCTCCTCCTCGAGCTCCTCAGGCCTCCACGGGGCACCCTGGCCCTTGGACTTCAGTGCCCTCGGCCTGGGGTCCCCGTTCCAGGCCTCGGCCTCCACGGCCCTGCCTCCCTCTGGAACATTTCCCTCCTTTTCTGGTGCGTCTCCCTCACGAGGACGTCCCCTCCTCGAGGCCCCTCAGCAGGCATCCTGGCTCGGAGCAGGCATTCTGCCCGCGGTAACCCTCTGCCTGCAGGAGCCTCCGAGTTGGAAGAGACGGGCCTTCGGGAGGATGCTGGCGGGAGGTGCGCCCGTCCTGCAACAGGAGGACGAGGCCGACCCAGACGTGTGAGTGTCCAGGGAGGCCAGTCTCAGCCTGAGTCTTTGTTCTCTGTTATTTTATGTCTTTTTTTAATCTCTCCAACGATCGTGAAGTCAGTTTAGGGCTTCTTAGTCTGTTCCAGCTGCTGCAGCAAAAATACCATAAACTGAGCGGCTTGTAAACAGTAAACACATATTTCTCACAGTTCTGGAGGACGGGAGGTCCGAGATCAGGGTGCGGGCAGGCTCGGCGTCTGGTGAGGGCCCGCTTCCTCACAGACAGTTGTTTTTGCAAGATAATCTCACATGGCAGGGGGACGGGGAGGGTCTCTCTCTCTCTCTCTTTTTTTTTTTTTTTTGCTGAGGAAGATTGGCCCTGAGCTAACATCTGTTGCCAATCCTCCTCTTTTTTTGCTCGAGGAAGATTGTTGCTGAGCTAACATCTGTGCCCATCTTCCTCTACTTTGTATGTGGGACGCTGCCAAAGCATGGCTGATGAGGGGAGCAGGACCACACTGGGATCTGAACCCATAAACCCTGGGCCGCCGAAGGAAAACGTGCAAACTTAACCACTCTGCCACCAAGCTGGCCCCTGTAAACATTTTTAACAGCATGGTGGTGGTGTTCCTTGTCAAGGCAAGCAGCACGTGATCTCCTTCTAGTGCAATATGCCTGGCAGCCCCGTCTCCTCTGTCCCCATTTGTCTAATTGATGCGAGCTCCCAGATACCCCCCCGTACCGGCCCTGGGAGGGAGAAGAAAGCACAGGCCCAGGAGTCAGGAGAGCTGCATCTGGCCCTGTTTCTGCCACTGACTTGCTGTGTGACTTTGGGCAAGCCCCTGGCCCTCTCTGGGCCTCAATTTCCAGATCTACGCACATTGAGAGGATTGGACTGGAGGACGTCTCTGGGCCTTTCCAGTCCTACATCCTGTTCCATTCTTTCCTAAATTGAGGTGAGTTTTCTTTGGGGGCTTTGGGAGAATTCTGAGGCTCTACTAGAGATAACGGGACGTGTCCTTAGGGTGGGAAGCCCTGACCCATGGGGCTGACCCCCCAGAGTCACTCTGTCCCCACCCGGGTGAGCCGGCGCCACAGAGGAGAGCCCTGCCCTGGGGCCACCCAGTTGTGGCCCATTCATGAAGCACCAGAAGGCACTGGCTGTCCCGGGAGGCATCCGGGCCTCCGGGCGCAGACGCGGGGCACCTCCTGTCTCCTCCAGCAACGCCCCGCACAGCGAGGCCCCAGGGCCTTTGCTCGCACCGGCCTCCCTCCCGGCCGCTTAACCGTTAACCCGAGCCCAGCAGGTCACGACGCAGCCAGGCCTTTCTTGAAAGTCTTCCCGTGTTCTTGTTGTGACTCCCGGTCCCGTGGTTCACTGTCCACAACCCGTGGGGCAGAAACCGAGGTCAGACAGCTTGTGGTTCGGGGACCTGGGTTCAAATCCAGGTCTTTGGATTCTGATTCCTCCATTTACCAGGTTTGTCTCTCTCTGCCTCAGTTTACTCATCTGGAAAATGGGGATTCATAATCGTATCTGCCTCTCGGGGCGTCCATGTGGATTCAATGAGGTCATATATGTAAAGAGCTTCACATAGCGTCCAGCACACAGTGGGGGTGATTCTGTGCTGCTGCCGTCCTCCCCCACCCTCCGGGCCTGAGCTCAAGTCCCACTCGGAACTCACCCGTGTGAGTCCCTCCCGGGCCCCAGGAGCTGCATGCGGCACCTTCACATACGTGTTCCATGAACGCCTTTCACTGTGGAATTATAACTGCAGAACACAAGCTATAGGAAACCTTATTTAATTTCCTAATTTAAAATCTTTTTTTTTTTTTGGTGAGGAAGATTGGCCCTGAGCTAACATCTGTTTCCAGGCTTCCTCTTTTTTTTTGTTTTCTCCCCAAAGCCCCCCGGTACATAGTTGTATTTTTAGTTGCAGGTCCTTCTAGTTGTGGCATGTGGGACACCGCCTCAACATGGCCTGATGAGCGGTGCCGTGTCCGCGCCCAGGATCCGAACCGGCGAAACCCTGGGCCGCTGAAGTGGAGTGCCTGGACTTAACCACTTGGTCATGGACCCAAGCCCTAATTTTAATTTTTAATTACTAAATTCTAATTAAAATTTCTTGAGATTTTTAACTGAATCACTCAATTTGAAGTTTAATTGAAAGAACAAATTTTAATGTCGTTTTAATCAATCATTTTAATTTAACTTTAATCAATACATTTAAATTCGTAACTTTATAGTTTTTATCAATACATTTTAATGTTTTCATTTAATTAGTGTTTCCATGTCATTTTAGTGAGTAAGTTTAAATTTTAATGAATATGTTTTCATATAAATTTTTAAATTTTGTAGAAAATTAAAACCCTCCCTGAGGACGCCGAAGGCCTCCTGGAGCCATCACCCATGCCAGCCCCCTCCCCAGAAGGAACTGCCATCATCCAGGTCCCCATGTGCATGCATCTCCTGCCCCCCAACTCCTTCCCCCCCATCCGCCCCCACCCCCCAGCCCAGACCGTGAAGAGCATCTTCAGTCGTCATGGTGACAGATACTGCTGGCTGCCCACCCAATGGTCATCACCTCCCCTCCCCTCACCTTGCCTTGGCTAATAGATCCCCAGTTTGGTTTCGGGTGGTGACGTGGCCCATCCTGGGGCACTGATCATAATTGCCCAAGCCAATTGATCTGTCCCATCCCTCTTGTCAGTTACACGCTTGTTTGGCTATGTGACACCCCCCACCCACCCGCCACCTCCCTGCTCCAGCCAAGACTGCTTGGAGGATTTCTGAAGAAAGTCAGTCAATTATCTCCTGCCACAGGAATGCTGTGTAAGACGCAACCACCGAACCTTGGTGGAGGATAAGAGTGAGCGTTTCCTGCTCGTGCCCCTGGAGTGAGCCGGGGGGCGGGCTCGGCGGCTCTGCGGGTCTTGGCGGGGCTCGCTCGCAGGTCTGGCGAGTGGAGGTGTTGAGTGAGGGAGGCTGGGCCTGGGCCGCTAGAGCAGCTCGACGGCTCCACGCGCCTCTCTCGCCCGCCTGCAAGCCAGCCCAGCCTCACAAGCCCAACTCAAGCTTCTGCTGGTGTCACGTCTCCTGATGCCCCACCGGCCAGGGCTGAGCCCAGAGCCAGAGTAGGAGGGCGCCACCAAGTTTCAAGGCCTAGGCATGGATCCAGGGAAAAGAGGAGAACAGGGCAGTGTTTGGAATCTACCAGATAAACTCTTTCTGGATAAAAATATTGAGACTCTAAGAAGAAAGGCTTTTGCTATTGCTTTCTATCTTTCCCACTTGGGACAATGGAGCAGATATGTGATGGTTGGAGCTGCAGCAGCCATCTTGTGACCATGAGGCAACAAGCATGAGGCTCAAAAACATGAGTACTCTGAGAACAGCAGAGCAGAAGGATATGAAAGCCTGATGATGTGGCTGAGCTGTGGAACCATCCCTGGCCACCTACCTCCAGTCATTGTTGGTTGAGTGTTATTTTTTCCTGTAGCCAAACTCATCCTAACAGATATCGCTTGATTCTAGGGCTGCTGAGCATGCCCTTTTTCAAGAAATGCCTATCTCTATCCCAGCCTCTACCTCAGTGCTTGACATTTGTATTTTCCAAATCTAGCGACAAAACATGTCCCACTCCACATGCTTTTTTTTTTTTTTTTTTTGGTGAGGAAGATTGGCCCTGATCTAATATCTATGTCAATCTTCCTCTATTTTGTACGTGGGATGCTGCCACAGCATGGCTTGATGAGGGGTGTGTGGTTCCAGCCTGGGATCCAAAAGTGCAAATCCCAGCTTGCCAAAGCAGAGGGCGCAAACCTAACCACTACACCACCAGGCCAGCCCCTCACATGCTCTTCTTACAAGGTGACTTTGGCGTATCTCCTGCTACAAGTTTGGGTTCTAGGTTCCTTACCCTTGAATCCGGGCAGGCTTGGGTCTATAGTAGAAGTGACCTGTTACAGGTTGAACGGTGTCCCCCCCCACCCCAAATTTCTCTATTGGAGTCCCAACTCTCGACACCTCAGAATGTAACCTTGCTCAGAAATAGGGTTGGCGACCTCACACAAAGGAGACCCCTGGACACAGACGCGCACACGGGGAGAGCGCCATGTGAAGGTGGAGGCAGAGATGGGGGTGACGCAGCCACAGCAACGAACCCCAAGGTCGGCCAGCAAACCACGGGAGCTGGAGAGAGGCTGGACGGGGCTCCCCCTCGGCCTCGGGGGGACCAGCTGACACCTGCATCCTGGACCTTGAGCCGCCAGAGTTAGAAGCGAGACAGTTAGTCTCGGTGCTTTAAGCCACGCGGTTTGCGGGACTTAGTCACCACAGGCCCACCCTGTCGCTGGAACAGAGTGTCGCCACGAGGACAGCAGCCTCGCTGAGTTCTCTGGTCCTTCCAGCAAACCCTTCACCCTGCGGGTGGCCTTGGGGACCCCGAGGTTCCGCCCAGCCCTTCACACGCTGGGTTGTCCCTCCCCGGTCACGCCTGCCCACCCACCCCGCCACAGCGCCATCCCCACGCCCCGGGAGGAAGCCGCTGGGCTCTCAGCTCCCTTTCCCCAGGACGGAAGGAAAAGTCTGAGAACTCACTTACACTCGGGATTCAACCACGATTCTCATTTGACTTCATGTTGTTTTCAATGACTTTATTGAGGTCATGTTGGTTTATAACATTGTGCAATTTCAGGTGCACGTTATTACATATCAGCTTCGGTGTAGACTGCATCGTGCTCACCACCGATGGTCTGGTTTTTATCCATCACTATATATATGCGCCCGTTTATCTCTCTCACCTTACCCCCAGCCCCTTTCTCTCTGGTAACCACTAATCTGTTCTCTTTATCCGTGTATTTTTTATCTTCCACATAGGAGTGAAATCACGTGGCGTTTGTCTTTCTCTTTCTGGCTTATTTCGCTTAACGTCATTCCCTCAAGGTCCATCCATGTTGTTGCAAATGGGACGATTCTGTCCTTTTTATGGCTGAGTAGCATTCCACTCTCTCTCTATACCATGTCTTTGTTATCCATTCATCCATAGAGGGGAACTTAGGTTGTTTCCACATCTTGGCCATTGTGAATAATGCTGCTGTGAACCTAGGGGAGCATGAGTCTCTTTCCCTGATTCTTCTTTTTTTTTTTTTGAGGAAGATTAGCCCTGAGCTAACTACTGCCAATCCTCCTCTTTTTGCTGAGGAAGACTGGCCCTGAGCTAACATCGTGCCCATCGTCCTCTACTTTATACATGGGACGCCTACCACAGCATGGCTTGACAAGTGGTGCCATGTCCGCACCCGGGATCTGAACCAGAAAACCCCGGGCCACCAAAATGGAACATGTGCACTTAACCCCTGCACCACCGGGCCAGCCTCTCCTTGATTCTTATTTTAAGAGCCTCGAGCTGGTAGGATGGAAGGATGGGGGTCGAGCAAGTGAGAAATGAAGGGGAGACCAGCGGAGCCGGGAAAATCCCAGTGTTCCGGCTCACATTCCAGGGTCGTCTTCCTGGGCCCCCGGGGACGTCACTCCAGATGCAGACAGGGCCCCCTGCACTGTTCAGAATGCCGCTCGTGCAACGGCTCTCACGCTCGAATGACTGTCCCCTCGGGGACATTCTGGGTGCCCCACGGCAGGAAGGGGTGCTCGGGCCTCTGGTGGGTGAAGGCCAGGGGGGTGCTGACACCCGACGGTGCACAGGCCCCCGCGGCACAGGGCGACCTGAGCCCCAGGGTCAGGAGGTGGAGGCCGGGAGCTCCCCACAGCCAACCGAACAAAGTCCAAAATCTCCCGCACTGTCATGGGCCGTTGAAGTCGCCTCTTCTGTGAAATGAGGTGAGTGACAGGACGGACACGTGGGGCTGTTGTCAGGATGAAGTGAGATGATTCTCAGAGGAGGGCGTGTGTGCGATCGCGAGGTTCAAGTGTTTCCCGTGACAGCTGCTGGGCTGTTATTTGTATTATTATTCTTATTTCTCATCAGTCTCGGAGCTTCGATCTGCTGCCCCCAGATCTAAAAATTTAGACCCCTCTCTGAATTTCCCAGGCTTGCTTTCCCTTTCATAGCCTTTGTTTGGGGAGATTTGTCCTCACTTCAGCCCCACTCTAGTAATTTTTTTTTTTTTTTTGCTGAGGAAGACTGGCCCTGAGCTAACATCTATGCCCATCTCCCTCTATTTTGTATGTGGGACGCTGCCACAGCATGGCTTGATGAGCAGTGCACAGGTCCACACCCAGGATCCAAACCCATGAACCCTGGGCGGCCAAAGCAGAGCACACAAACTTAACTACCGCACCACTTGGCCGGCCCCCCGGTGATATTTTTTTAGCAAAGTGTCTGGCACGTGGGGAGCAACTGGTCACCCCTGGGCTCACCGAATGCATAATCTATTAGCCCTTTAAGACGCAGATCAGCTCTGAAACTTTTTTTCTCTGCTAGAGATAAAAACAGAACCTTTTCCTTCCTCCTACAGCCGTGGAAGCTGAGCTCCTCCTTCGGAATCAACCGAAAGCTGCCAGTGTTGTTTTTCCAGTGTTTGGGGCCGCGTGATTTCCCAACACTGATTTCCTACGTGCCAGACCCTGCTGGGTTACGAGGGACACAGAGATGAGTAACAGAGTGTCTTACGTCTGGATTTGGCAAGACGGTCAGACACCAAGGGACTGAGGATTTTTAATCTACTCGTTCAACCGAGAAGTATTTACTGAACACCCGTGGTGGTGAAAACGATGGGCTTGTCCCCACCTCCGCCTCTGCCCAGCTGTGCAGCCTTGAGAAAGTGACTTAACCTCTCTGAGCTGGATTCCTCATCTGGAAAATAGGGAGGATGAGAATATTTCTATCTCGTCAAGAGGTTGTGAGGAGTGAGTTAAAACAAGCAGAGCTTGATAACTGTTTCCTATTTCTATTATATATTATAATTAGGGCAACCCACAGTCCCAGTTTGCCTGGAGTTGAGGAGTTTCCAGGGACACGGGGCTTTCAGGACTAAAATCAGGAAAGTTCTGGGCCCATCGGGATGTTGGTCATCCTGATATAATTATATATTATTACTAATAGTATTTATTATTATTATTATTATTATTATTATTATTATTATTATGGGTGGTGATGTCTTGACAAGTGCTGCAGGGGACGGACTGTTGAATGAGGCCAGGTCACGCTTGCAAGGAGCATGCGGTCTGGTAGGAGAAGCAGAAGAGTTACAAAAACAGAGAATAGAATAATGAGATGGGGGGCCGGCCCGGGGCAGAGTGGTTAAGTTCGTGTGCTCTGCTTCAGTGGCCCAGGGTCTCGTCGGTTCGGATCCTGGGCACGGACATGGCACCACTCGTCAGGCCACGCTGAGGCGGCGTCCCACATGCTACAACTAGAAGGACCCACAACTAAAAATACACAACTTTGTACCAGGGGGCTTTGGGGAGAAGCAGAAAAAAAGAGGAAGATGGGCACAGATGTTAGCTCAGGGCTAATCTTCCTCAGCAAAAAAAAAAAAAAAAAAAAAAAAAGAGTGTACAATTCAGGGGCATTTTGTACAATTACAATGTTGAACAACCATCACTCCTATTTAGTTCCAGAACATTTTCATCCCCCTAAAAGGAAACCCCTTACTCATTAAATAGTCACTCCACATTCCCCGACCCCCATCTCGGGGCAACCCCTAATCTACTTGCTGTCTCTGTGGATTTGCCTGTTCTGGACATTTCACATAAATGGAACCATGTGGTCAATGACCTTGTGTGTCCGGCTTCTTTCACTCAGTGGGATGTTTTCAAGGTTCATCCATGTTGTAGCATCTATGAGAGCTTCGCTCCTTTTCACGGCTGCATAATATTCCACCATATGGCTATACCATGTTCCATTTATCCATTCACCTGTGGATGGGCATGTGGGTTGTTTCCACCTTTTGGCTATCATGGCTGGCGCTGACTCGAGTTTTTTAAGGCATTTTTCTCCAGGAGGGCTGTCTTGATGGGAAATGCCCCTCCACACACCAACCTTAAAAATAGGTCTCCACTTAAAAACAGGGGAAAAAGGCCATTTGCACAGATGCCAGCATCTCCTCCAGAAAGGGAGAAGCTGCCGTTTTGAGGCTGGTTCTGGTGACCTTCCGCCTCCCACTGCTTTCCTCCTGTGGGTGTCACCGGGGTTGGAGATGCGTGGCCCGTGTGAGACTGGAAGCCCTCCCACAGGCGGGAATTCTCAGTATGTTCTGGGCACATGGTGAGCACCTGGCAAACCAGTATGTGATAGTGAAGCACAGGCACAGATCCCTCTCTGAGATTTTCTAGCCTTTTTTTTTTTTTTTTTGCTGAGGAAGATTGGTCCTCAGCTAACATCTATGCTGATCTTCCTCTGTTTTACATCGGATGCGGCCACAGTGTGGCTTGACGAGCGGTGCTAGGTCCACACCCAGGATCCAAACCTATGAACCCCAGGCCGCCAAAGCAGAGCACACAAACTCAACCACTACACCACCAGCCCAGCCCCCTTAAAAATTTTTTTAAATGAAATATTGAGCAGATATTTAAAAAAATAAAATATATATAAGATATAAAGAATAAGAACAAAATAAATATCCATGGGCCCCTCACTCAATTTAAGAAAAAACTTCCGCATCCTCTGAAGCTCCCCTGGGGGCCCTTCTCCGTCTCATTCCCCTCCCTTGCCCCTCAGAGGTAACCACTTTGCTAAACTTTGTGTTTGTCTTCCCCTCACTTTTAAAAGATAATCTACAATATATTTGTGTCCCTAAACTGTACCTTGTGTGGTTTTGTCCGTGTTTTGAAATTTTATAAGCACGTCTGTATTGTCGTGTGTAACTGAAAGCGACTGATTTTTCACAGCTGTATAATATTCCATTGAATAAATATATCACGATTTAACCAGTCTCTGGCAGATGAATATTTTCTTTTTCTTCTTTTTCCTTCAATCTTTGATTTTGGAATAATTTTAGGTTTCCCAGAAAGCTATACACCTCCATGGACCTCTCACCAGATTTTCTCTAACGTCAGCCTCTGACATCATCACAGCACATTTGTCAGAACCATGAAGTCGATGTTGATGACCACGATTAACTGAATTCCAGTCTTTGTTGAGATTTCACTCATTTTTCCACTGATGTCCTTTTTCTGTTCCAGGATCATCCACCCCAGGTTTTTGGGGGGCTATTACAAAGATCGCTGCTTTTGAGTATTCTCGCCCACATCTCCTGGTGCACGTGAGCAAGAGTTTCTCCAAGTCATTCCCCGGGTTTGCTGGGGCACGGGACACGTCACATCTTGAATTTTATTCAATAAGTCAGATTCGCTCTCCACTGTGACTGTCCCAATTTGACCCATTACTGGGACTGTGTGAGCTCCCCTTGCCCCACCCGAGAGAAACATTTTTAAATTTGCCAAACTGGTGATTTTTAAATTTGCCAAACTGGCGGGTGTGACATCCATCTGTGGTTTTAATTTGCGTTGCCCCGTTATCGCAGTCACGCTCTTTTCCTATATTTCTTCTCGGACGTCGTGCCTCTTCACATCTTTTATATCACTTTCTCATTGGGGTGTCACACTCATTTCTAGCCTTTTGATATAATTTCTGAACGCTAATTCTTCGCGTCAGACGTGGCAAGTATCTTCTGCGTCTGTCCATCAAGCATCGAAAGCTTGTCAAAGGACCAAAAGATGTCAATCTATTTCAGAAGTCCTGTCCTTTAAACTCTCATCTACCCAGTGGCCAGAGTCCTCATTTCCTCCATCAAGGGGATAGACCACACTGTTGAAACCCCATATTTTTAAGTATTTGCTAAATAAATAAAGAATCCCTCCTAAATCGAAGGCAGGTGTCTAATGCCCGTCTTCGCATAACCTACAAGGCCATACATGACCCGCGCCTAGTTCACTGTCACCCATGTGGTCTCTGCTGTGCTTCCAAGCGACCCCACAACTTCCTGCCTCAGGGCCTTTGCACTTGCTCTTCCCCCAGATATTTCCTCCATGTCCCTGCTCAGTGTGACCGCACAGAGCAGCCTTTATGGATCTGTATAAAACAGCATCCTCCGACTCTCTCTATGCTCCTTCCTCGCTTTTTCTTGAAAGCATAGCCCCGTGCCTTCCCAATATATTTGCCTGTTTCCCACTAGCAGTGCGCCTTTCAGCACCAGGGACACACGTGGGTGGCCACACGGTCCTTGAAACGCGGCTGGTCTGAATCCAGATGTCCTGAGAATGTCCAACGCCCACCCGGTTTTAAGGAATCCCAAATCATGCAAAATTACCTCCCTACAAATTTTGTCTCGATTGCAGGTTGAAATAACGTTCGGGGTTAAATGATATCATTCGAGTTAATTGCACTTTTTTTTTTTTTTTTTTTTGCTTTTGAAAACAGGGCCATTTGTCAAGGTCGGAGGCGGCGGCGGCGGCCCCGGGAGGCGGGTCTCGGGTTTCCCGCGGTCCCCGCCGCCCTCGAGCCCAGACCGACCCGGAGCCGGGATCCGAATAGACCCGACGCTCCATCCGGAACAGGCGCCGGGGGCCGCACTCCAAGAGCAGAACGCGGGGCCCTGCCCCGCCCTCTCTGTTCCATCTCCCCTGCGTCGCGGGGGGTGGGGGGGTCCCGGCTTTAAAAACACCACCACCTTCCTGGGGTCTAATTTGCATTAAGAGGCACCCATTTTAAGTGTAGAATCCATATTTTTCGTAAATTCCCCCACGGTGTGCAACCATCCCCATCACCCCTTTGTGGACCGTCAGCATCCCCCGCATCAGAGCCCCTGGTGCTGGTTCACTCCGGCCCCGCCCCCCCGGGGACGCGCGAATCCACTCCCGTCTGCACCGACGTGCATGACTCAGTTTCCAAGGAGCGCATTCCACGTCTAGGCTGTTCAGTTCAGGGGTCAGACTCCTTGACCCGCCAGCATCTGGGGACCACTGCCCTTCCCGGCCTGGAGCTGGACCCCACGTGGCTCCGTGTCCCCCCGTGCCTCCCCGGCCGCACATCTCCCCACCCCCCGAAGGCAGGTGCGGGGGCTCCTCGGGGGCATGTGGGGCTGCCTCGCTCCTGCCCTCGCACCCGACATCGTGGGAGCCCGCAGCTCCGAGTGGCGCCCCCCCGAGGGACCCCAAGATCGGCTCGGCTGCGTTCCAACGCGACCCCCCAGGAACAATGGCCAGACCCCCGAGGCCTCCCAGCCCTGCAGGGTGGTCTCCTAGGCGACGGTCCCCGACTCCCATCCGCTGCCCGGGCTCCACCTTCACACGGCCAGCCATCAACCGCCCTCCTCCCAAAATGGCCACCAACCGCCTCCTTTCCCGCCCACCGCGGGTCACCTGACCGCGCCTGGCCCCGCCCCCGTCCGCGCGGCCCCGCCCCCTCGCAGCTTCTGAGTCTGCGCGGCCGGCCGGCACGCGGCGGGAGCCCGGGGCGGCGCGAGGCGAGCTCGCGAGGCGGCTCTGGGCGGCGCGGGGGGAGGGGGGCCACGCACGCACGCGCGCGCGCGCGCCGGCGGGGGAGCGGGGCCGGGCTGCGCGTGCGCGCCGGGGGTGGGGCGGGAGGGCCAGCGCGCGGCTGCAGCGGCGGCGGGGAGGCCCGCGAGGCGCGAGGCGTGAGGCCGGGCGCGCGAGCCCCCGGGGGCGGGTAAAACCCGGTTGCTGCTGCTCTTGCCCCCTTCCCTCCCTCCCTGCCCCCCACTTTCCGCCCCTTCCTCCTCTGTTCGCCTTTTCAACCCGCCTCCGCTTCATCTTCCTTCTTGGGGGAGGGGGACGCCTCTGCCTTTCGGGGGACGCAGCAGGCGCGGCGGGCGCCCCTCGCCCCGCGTCGCGCACGCACCTCTGCACCCCAACAGCCCCGGGCCCGCTGCACCCCCGCAGCCCCTTCCCGCCTTGGAGAAGGCGCCCCTGGGGGCCCCTGGCCCGCTGCACCCCCTTTTCCTTCCTCCCCCGCCCCCCCAGGCCCCAACTGCCCCCTGGCAGCTCCCCAGCTCGCGCGCGGCCCTACCCGACTCGGCGGCGTCTGCATCCCGGCCTTGCATCCGCTCCGCATCCCCTTTCCTCCTGAATCGTCGCCCCTTCGAGGACCCAGCCTGGTTTCTTTTTAGGATCTTCCAGCAAAGACGCATCCCTCCGATCGTCCTGGATGGTGCCCCTTCCCGTCTTTTTAGACCCTTCCTCTAGCAAGAAAATTCACTTTTCTTTCTCGCATCTGTCCTCCCTTCGAGATCCCTTTCCAGCAAACATCCTTTCTTCCCTCCCAGCGTCCCCCTTTTTGGAAGATCTTTGTCCTTATCCCGAACCAACTCGGTCCTCCCAGTTTCTCTCTCGTCTGATAACTTATTTTTTTGGACTCTCTTCGCCAGCTTTCCAATAAGAATCGCTTTTCATCACTAGTTCCGCCTCCCTGCAAAACCCTCTAGGTTTCTTCCCAGGGGGTCGAGAAAAATAAGGAAAGAAAGAAAAAAGAACTTTCCCGTAACAGCAAAACCCTTTTTTTTTTCCCCGCCTGGATCTCCCCGGTGTAGTATTGCTTTCTTCCTTCTTCCAAAAATTGCCCGTTTCCCCCAGTTTTTCATGCCTGTGTCCTTGCGTCTTTGGGGCCCCACGTTCTGATCGCCCCTTCCTTTCCCCCACCTGCTTTCAGGGCAGAAGAAGTTGGATGAGTGTCCTGAATGTCCCACCCAGCGTACCAGGAGGGAAGATCCCGTGGTCTGACCGTCAGCTGAACCCCCCTCCCTGTGGGGCCTCAACGGGCGGCCTGGTCCCTGGAGATTCGCTCACTTGCTCTTCTGCAGGTGGGTGGCCTCCCTTTGCACTTATCCAAAGGCACCTGCTGGGTCAGGTGGATTCCTTTCTTTCTCAGAAGGGTTTCTAATGGATCCGAGAGTCTTTGTACCAATGGTAAGACCGTCCAGGTTGCTGCTTTGGGAAATCAGATAAGGAAAAAGGTTTTTTTTTTTTTTTTTTTATCATGCATGTTGATCTCTCTGGAGGAATGCAGGCGTTTGTTAGATGTGAATGTTTCACTGTTTGTCACCAAAAAAAGGGTTTTTCCTCTGTAGCTCAGGGTAATGACTTAGATACCTACAGGTAACGGCCAGAGTGTGTTGAACCCAAGATCATGTGCTCCATGTAAGTGACAACAAGAGCTGGTTGAAATAGCCGACTGGAAATGCCAGGCCACTGTTGCCAGAAGTTACCTTTTTTTTGAGAAGAGATCAGAACGCTGTCTTTATGTGAAACCTTTTGATTTTTAAATGCTGACAACGAATGGAATAAGTGTTTAAAGGTGGTGTGGGGCCCTGATAAAACATGTCTGCTGGCCTCCAGTTTGGAATTTTGGGTTTGGGGTTTCTTAACCTGCTTGGGCCCGTGCATCTATGCAGGACTTTGTTTTTTTTCTTTAAAGCAGCAGTTCTGAAACTGTTTGATCTTAGGTCTCCTTGATCCTAAGATCGTTAAGGTGATCTTAGTATATAATAAAATAAATAATAAATCATTAATCATTGAAAATGATTGAAGACCCCAGAGAGTTTTGGGGCATGGGAACGATATTTACTGATGTTTGCTGTATTAGCTATTTGAATTAATAAACTTTAAACATATTCATTAACTCTTTTAAAAATAGCAATAATAAAACCGTTATCTATGAACATAATTGACATTTTTTAATTAAAACAAAACACTTAATGAGCTAGGGGCACTGTTTTACATGTTTTAGAGTCGTCTGGATTCTCATATCTGTTTGTATTCAGCCTCTTGAGAGATGTCCTGTTGCTTCTGGAAAGTTTCGCTGAGAACAGAAAAGGCAGCTCACATCTGAATATTGTTATGAAAATAGTTTTGACCTCACAGACTCCCTGAAAGACTCTTGAGGACTCCAGGGGTCCCCCCCATCCATTTCACTATGAAAACTGCTATTTGAGATTTTAATGCTTATTTGCATTTTCTGCTCAGATCAGCTTTTCGCATGAGAAGCTTTGATGTCTCTTTCTCCTTTAGTTAATTCTACGTACGAAATTTTCTAGGAAAGTACAGAAAGTATAGTCTCCTGATGCCTCCGTGTCTTTCTCTTTCCCAATATGAGCTTATTTATTTTAAGGAGTTGTTTTGCTGTTACTTTTTTTTTGGTGAGGAAGATTGGCGCTGAGCTAACATCTGTTGCCAATCTTCCTCTTTTTTTCCTTCTCCCCAAAGCGCCCCGGTGCATAGTTGTGTATTTTTAGTTGTGGGTCCTTCTAGTTGTGGCATGTGGGATGCTGCCACAGCATGGCCTGATGAGCGGTGGAGTGTCTGCACCCAGGATCTGAACCAGCGAAACCCTGGGCCACTGAAGTGGAGTGCACAAACTTAACCACTCGGCCACGGGGTTCCCCCCCCAATATAAGCTTTAAATCTGCTCTTATTAAAAGAGCATGACTCAGATCACTGGAAATGAGTTAACCTTCTGGTTAAAATGATATTGATTACATGGCTAGAGGAGCGAGTCCTCTTTGATTGTTCGGTTTAAGAATGTAGGTGCAGCGTGCAGGGCAGGACTGTTGGTCTCACGTGTGGGGTCACAGTTCAGTTTAGTGGTTAAGTGTGAGGGCTTCAGCGTCAGACTCCCAGGGTTAAATCCGAACCCTGATTTGGGAGAAGTTACTTAACTTCTCTGGACTTTATTTATCTGATTTGTAAAGTCAGGTTAATAATGTATTAATAACACAGTGTCGCAAAGGAGTGTTGTGGGAATTAAGTGAGATGATATAGGATTGCAATGCCTGGTATAAGATAAAGCCTCAGTAAATGTTTGCTTCTGTTGTTATTATTAGCTGGCCCTGGTGGTCTAGTGGTTAAGATTTGGCGCTCTCACTACCAGGGCCCAAGTTCATTTCCCGGTCAAGGACCCATGCCACCATCTGCCTGTCAGTTGTCATACTCTGGCGGCTGCGTGTTGCTGTGACGCTGAAAGCTATGCCACCGAGATTTCAAATACCACCAGGGCCCCCCATGCTGCACAGGTTTCAGCAGAGCTTCCAGACTAGACAGAAAGACAGATTAGGAAGAAGGACCTGGCCACCCACTTCCGAAAAAAGTTGGCCATGAAAACCCTGTGAATAGAATTGAGTCTTGTCTGATGGAGGCCGGAAGGGGAGAGGATGGCGCAGAAAGACCGGGCAGGGCTCTGCTCTGCTGTCCACAGGGTCACTAGGAGTCGGAATCCATTGGACGGCACTAACAACAGATTATTATTCTAATGATGATTATTACAGGGGTCGGGCAGGAAGAGAAGTGAGGACGACGGTGGGCATTGGAGGCCACAGCCCGATCCAGAGATGGCATTTGTCCCTCACTCTATCCTACTGTTAACTATCTGCGAATATCAAAATCTAATAATTTTCAAGAGAAGTCCATATATTTAGTTGAAATCTCCTCGTTTGGTCAGTTGTTGGTAACTAAGCCGGTATTTCAAGACACGGTGTAGGTCAAACACGCTAAATAAAACATCTTTGTGGAATAGGTAGACGTTCAGATTGTTCCCTCTTTTCCCTCCAAAAAATGCCAAGATAAATATTCTTTACCCAGTTGTGGACTTCCTGCCGCAGTTCAGAACCATCTGGTAGTGTAGTTTCCTGAGAGGTTGCAGCATTTCACGGGGGAGGCCCTTTGTCCTCCCCCCCCCCCCGCCAGGCATGGAATGATGGGCCTTTTTTAAAAGAAAAGACTTAAAATTGCTTTGGATCCCCAGTGTTGACTTAAATTGTTTTTTAAGCTATTAAGGCTTAAATGATGATAACACAAGACGGCTCTTGCTAAAGCGTACGGCTTCCGCGCCACTATAAAGCCACAATCAGCTTGCAATCAACTTGCAAATACGCAGCCACCAAACCAGTGTGATTCAAATGACAAACATTAGTTTAGTGAGGGGGATGCTGTTTTGCTGAAGCTTAACTGCTTCTTTGAAGCAAATACTTTGCAGGCTGCCCCACCGGGCCCTTCTGGGTTTAGCAGGCCCTGGGAGATCTCAGCTCCCCCGTCCCTCTTAGTTTGAACAGCAGTGAAACCTCCGTCGGTCCCACAGTGTTTGTTGGCCTTTAGTTGAGCCCAAAGGCATCATTATGAGCTAAATCCACCAATATCCTCTTCTCATTAGCGTGGGGCCGTTAAAGTAGGTTTTTTTCGGCGTTAGTGCGATTGTAAACGTATCCTGGACGTGGAAAGCAAATGGTGGTACCCCGTTACAGGCGGTAATCTGATAATCCAGATAGACTGATTTTCTTCTTGGAGGTTCTTCTCCAAACGAAAACACAAAATCGTTAAACCCTTGGGAAGAATATTTGGACTCTTGGGAATGTCTGCAGAGATTCCAGGGGACCACAAACCCTGCCCCACAGGGACTAGCAGGGGACTCTGTACGTAGAAGCTGCGAACACTTGTGGAATTGAAGTTGTCTGTTGACGGAATAGGAGCAAGTTTAATGTTGGCCCGGGGAGGGGGGTGTGTTGCTTTACTATCTGGAAAAGGATGTCGATATCAAAGCACGGCCTCTGGACTTCTGGCTTGCCTGCACGAGGTCCTGACCAGACCCGAGTGTTCTGTGGACGATGAGGGGACGTTGGAAAGCAGGTGATTCTGTCTCCCGCCCCCACCCAGCACCTTTGGTGTTTTGTGGTTCAATGGGCACCCTGCCGTCTACACAGTTTGTCAGGAGTCGGTATCGTGTCGTAGGTAAGAACACAAGCTCTAAAGTCGAAATGTCCAGGTTTAAGATCTGGCTCGACTGCTTGTAAGTGTGTGACTTAAGATCCATGACCTCGCCGCTCAGAGTCCCTTTCCGTCTCTGCAGAACGGAAGTGCTAATAGAACCGAGCTCTGGGGCCTTGTGGGGAGTGCGTGAACCAAAGCATATGAAACCTGACAAGGGGGCTGTGCTTCCAGTTTTACTTTGTAAAATACCGCTTTATGTTTCTTTTAAGGAATGCCTCATTTTTTTGTCTCTAGCTTGCTTTTGTTCTCGAGAGATGAAGGAGATGGAGTCCTTCCCCCTTGGGGTCCTGAGTGACAGCAGTTCCAGCAGCACAGCAGAAGGAACTTTGGAACTGGCAGAGAAATTCATTTTGCCTCGGAATATAAACTCGTATAGTCCACACTCCTTTCTCTGCCATTTAGAATCCCAGAAAGGTCTGAGAATGCCCAGGGGTCTCAAACCTCTTTTGGTGGCCAAACCTGAACTTACAGGTTGCTCCTTGCTCTCTTTATTTATTCCATTTATTCCCCATTCCATTTAGGGTGTCGGCACAGGAATGATTTGGTTACAGGTGCTGCCCTGGACCCCCCTGGGAGTTACTTAAAATATGTTGTCTAAATCCCCCAGATTCTGAATTCTGAAACTCACTTGGGTCCCAGAGTTCTGACTCAGGATTGTGGAGCTGTAGTCAACTTTAGTCTGAGATCCTGCAGTAGGCCACAAACACACACACACACACACACACACACAGAGGTAGCCACATAATGTGACACTCAGACATGGGGGGGCAGCTGTTCTCTTACAGCTCAACATGAAAAGTTTAAAAACAGTAGAAAACAACGGCCTAGGAATCCAGGCCCAAACTCTAGTTATTCTAGAATCCACTAGATTTGTTATCAATGAGTGATCAAGCATTTATTAAATGTCTAGGTATGGACAGAATTATTCAGAATAGCCAAAAATGGAAACAACCCAAATGCCCATCAACAGACAAATGGATGTAGAAAATGTGGTCTATGCAGACAGTGGAATGGTATTCATCCATAAAAAGGAATGAAGTGATAGGGATATGCCTGAAAACACTCTACTTAGTGAAAAAAGCCAGACGTAGAAGGCCGCATGTTGTTTGATCCCTTTTGTATGAAACAGATGGCCCTCTGAGTAGGCCCAACTTTATTTGTTTACATGCTTCGTAATTATAACGGGGTGACTCTGGAAGTCACGGTCTCCCTGCCACCCCGGGGTTTGTGTTGGCTGCCCGCCGTGGGTTGTAATTGTTCATTTGGGTAGTGACTTTTCCAGGCTATTTTTGTAAAGACTGTATTCTTCGTCGTGTGTGGTAAGTGGAATCTCTGTTCCGTGAGTTTGGTGGTCAGCCTGTGATGTACAGAGATGTCCTTACACACCTGGAGCAGGAAAAAAAAAAATACCCCAGTGTTTGCAGGTGGGCTGCGTGTGAGCGTTGGGACTTACCTTCAGCAGCAGTGGGCAGTTCACAGCTCTGCCCTCACCTTTGCTCAGCCTCCCCCACGCTCTAAGCTCTCCTGAGGGTGTGCCCGCCTTAGGCACACGGTCTTCTAGATTCCCCGGAATGTGTGCAAGGTTTTTTTTAATGAACTAAAGTCCACAGTTTATGTTAGGGTCCATTCACTCTTTGTGTTGTGTGGGTCTGTGGGCTTTGAGTAATGTGTAGTGTCATGTGTCTACCTTTACCGGACTATACAGAATAGTTTCACTCCCCTAAAACTCCCTTCTGTGCCTCACGCGTCATCCCTCCTCCGTACCCTCGGAACCCTGGCAACCACAGACTTTCTTATTGTCTCTGTAGTTTTGCCTTTTCCAGAATGTCGTGTGGTTGGACTCAAGCAGCATTCAGCCTTTTCACACTGGCTTCTTTCCCTCAGCAATATGCATTTAAGAATTTGCCATGTCTTTTGGTGGCTTGATAGCTCCCTGCGTTTTTTTTTTTTTTTTGAGGAAGATTAGTCCTGAGCTAACATCCACCACCAATCTTCCTCTTTTTGCTCAGGAAGATTGGCCCTGAGCTAACATCTGTGCCCATCTTCCCCTCTCTTGTATGTGGGATTCCACCACAGCATGGCTTGACGAGTGGTGCGTAGGTCCGTGCCTGGGACCCAAACCAGCGAACCTTGGGCTGCTGAAGCAGAGCACACAAACTTAACCACTATGCCACCGGGCCGGCCCCAATAGCTCCTTGCTTTTTATTGCTGAGTAATATCCTGTTGTATGGATGTACTATAGCTTGTGTATCCATTCCTCTGTTGAGGGACATCTTGTTTGCTTCCAGTTTGGGGCAGTTATGAATAAATGTGCTGTAAACGTTCGTGTGCAGCTTTTGTGTGGACGTAAGTTTTCAGCTCCCTGGGGTGGACACCCAGGAGTGCAGTGGCTGGGTCGTATGGTAAGACCATGTTTAGCTTTGTAAGAAACTGACGTTGTGGATGATTTTCAAAGCCCTTGCTCTCCAAGCATCTCACCCTCCAGCCTTTACTCCCAGGCTTTTGGTGGCGTGTCTGCCGTTGGCCCCAACTAATACCCTTTGCCCCAGACTCTAGCAACTGTTCCATTGTCTTTAATGTTTTCAACAAGTGCCCTCCCCACAGCGGCTCTCTGCCCTCAGAGAGCTCCAAGTTAGGCAAAGTCAGGTGGAGCGCTTCATGTTGGACCTTCAGGAGCCATCCTGCAGGTCAAGACGACAACCTCAGTTCTTTGAGAACAAGGTGCTCTCTGCTCGCTCCAGGGCCGGGAGCCCACAGCAGAGGGAGCAGGGGCACCGTCTCCAAGGCGGCCGCTGTGCTGGGGGAGGGGGACGGGCAGGGCTCTCCTGCTGGGTCTCCTTTTTCTTGATAAAGTTTCGCTTGGTTGCTGTAAACCTTTGACTGTTTTCCAGAGTTCTAATAAAGTTGATTTTTTCAGTGTTTCTGTGATGGCATGGGTGGGAAGTTTTAAAATTACTAATTCAGTCTTTTAATCTATACAGACAGTCTATTTCCTCTTGAGTCAGTTTTGGTGACTTGTATCTTCCTAGGAATTTGTCCATTTTTATCTAAGTTACCCAATTTGTTGGCATGCAATTGTTTATAGTATTCCTTTATAATCCTTTTATCTTTTGTAAGGTCGTTAGTGATGTCCCCTCTTTAATTTCTTATTTTAGTAATTTGAGTCTTTCTCTCTCTCTCTCTTTTTTGGGGGGATAAATTCTGCTAGTTTAAATGTTACATAGTTTATTCCTCTTCTCTTGGTAGTTACGCTTAGCGCATTTAAAGCATCAAGTTAATCATCATCTCTTTCTTTTTTCCCAATGATTTAAAACCTATAGTAGTCTCCAAGCTGAGATCTGTGGGGTAAACTCTTAGGTCTGGAAAAGCCTGTTGTGTCAGTAAAGATCCTGTGTTGAGTTCCGGGCCGAGTCCCGGCCTCCCTCAGGCTGCAGATGGTGTCCTTCTGGTCTTCTAGCTGTTTCTGTGGGGAAGTTTGCCCTCAGGCCAGCCGGCATCCCTTCGAAGACCACCTCCCTCTTCTTTCTTGTGGCTTTTAGGATTTTCTCTTTGTCTCTAGTGTTCTGTAGTTCTCCTGGGTGTGGAGGAGTGAATTCCTTCTCATTTATCCGGCCCTGCCCTGCAATGCTGGGTCATTGTTAACCACACGCCTTCAGCAGTCGCATCTTTAAGTCTGGATTCAAGTGTTAATGATTCTGGAAAGTCTTCCACCATTATCTCGGTAAGTTCCTGTCCCTCCTGCATTCTCCCCTCTTTCCTGTTGGGACCCCTGTTCGACATACGTTAGACTTCTGCCTTTGCTTCTCCATGCGTATTTTCTCAACTGCTCCTTCATATTTTCTGTTTCTTTATCTCTCTGAGCTGAGTTCTGGGGGGATTTCCTCCGACTGCTCTGCCAGTTTGATATTTCTCTGTGCTGTTTAACCGTTCCGGTGAGTTTTTAATTTAAATGTCTTCCATTTCTAGAAGTTCTATTTGTCTTTTTTTTGTTGTTGTCTTTTTTTTAAAAAAAAAAAAAGATTGGCACCTGAGCTAACAACTGTTGCCAGTCTTTTCTTTTTTCTTTTCTTCTGCTTTTTCTCCCCAAATCCCCCTGTACATAGTTGTATATTTTAGTTGTAGGTCCTTCTAGCTGTGGCATATGGGATGCAGCCTCAAGGTGGCCTGATGAGTGGTGCCATGTCCGCGCCCAGGATCCGAACCGGCAAAACCCTGGGCCACCGAAGCAGAGCACGAGACTTTAACCACTCGGCCATGGGGCCGGCCACTTGTCTCTTTTTAAAAATGTTTGTTCTTGTCCCAGAGTGACCTTTTCTTTTCTTATACTAGGTTTTGTTGTCTCTCACTGTCCTGTTGTTTTTTCCAGTTTGTGGGATGCTTTTCTAGGCTTGTGTGCAGTTTTTCTTTCCGTTTACGTGGGTTTTCTGTGGATGGCACAGCTCTTCCAGGGTCCCAGGTCTCCATTTCCTGTGAGCTCGAGGCCCTGTGTCCTTTTCCTGTGTGTCTGTTATGACCCCAGGTCCCAGCCTCCAGGTTAATGCTCTTTAATAGGAACGTAATATGAACCATATATATAATTTAAAACTTCTTGGTAGCCACGTTAAAAGATAGAGTCAGATGAAATTCGTTTTAATAATATTTATATATTAATAATGTTCTGTTTACCCTGCTATATCCAAAATATTATCATTTCAACATGTAATCAATATGAAAACTTACTATTCTTTTTACTGAGTCTTCCAAATCCAGTGTGTGTTTCACACTCACAGCGTGTCTCAATTTGGGGCCAGTCACATGTCAAGTGCGTTCTGGCCACAAGTGACCAGTGGCCACCATATTGGACAGCAGCTCTAGGCTCTACATCTGAATCCGATTTTCCCCTTGGGCCGACTTGTGCTCACACCGCTGGGGTTGGGTTTTCTCGTTCTTACTGGCACTTGGGGTTTTACCTGTCCCGTGAACTTGGCTGCATGTTAAAAATGATCTTTTCTCATATTCCTGTATACTTACAGCTGGAGAAGGAGGTCACTTTAGTCCCCCATGTTGCCAGAAATCCTTTCATTTGTTCCTTACAACAGCCTTATGGTGGAGGCACTCTGATGAGGAAACGGGCTCGTGGAGCTGAAGGACTTGCCCAGGGTCGCATGGCTGTTCAGGGGCAGAGGACAGACCCCAGGCCTCGCTCTGTCCATCCCTCTGTGTTGCCGTCTTGTAACTTTGATGTCTCCTCGCTCGTTTTCAGGAGTTAGACGCCACCCAGGGCTCTCTCCTCCCTGACACCCTACACGGCCTTGCTCATCTGGAGAGTGCCTCTTGGCCAAGACCTGGCGCCGGAGAGCCATGGACCAGTACACCCTTGGGGACGAGGGTGCCCTTCCCTCGGAGACGCACCTCCCTTCGTTCTCCAAGAGCCAGGGGCTCAACTGCAGTGACACCCTCAACCGGGACCTGGGGCCCAGCCCACGAGACCTGCTCTATGCTGACCTGAGTAGCTCCGACCTGGACCCCAGCCTCCCAACGCCCGATGTGCCCGGCGAGGCCCTGGAGGACAACTTGGACACCCTGTCCCTGTACTCAGGGAGGGACGGCGATTCCGTGAAGCTGCTGGAGGAGTTTGCAGATCCGGAGTCCCAGACTTCCTTACAAGGTGAGGCTGTCCACGGGGTCAAGGGCCTGGCAGGCTGTTTGAAGGGTCCTGGGGCCAGCTGGGGAGTGATTCTGCGCAGACTGGTGGAGAACACTGCTCTCATCCACAGGTGATTAGGGAGCACTTATCTTTTTTCTACCTGGGAATTGTTCCCGACTTCCTAGTCAGGGAGCCTGAACCCCCATCCTAGGGAATGAGGTTGAGGAACTTGGGCATTTGGGGCTGTTCCGATCCTGTGTGTGGCGTGGCTGAGTTTATGGGAGACTTCCCCATCCATTGCCACATCTCAGAAGCCCTCCTCACGTTTCCAGAAGGAACTGAGATCCGGTCCCTCTGCTCCTTGGTGGTCTGACCTTCCTAAGGCTCAGTGTCTTTGTTGTAAAGTGGGGGGACAATGATGCCCACTCGACCTGCCCCCCGAGTCGTAGCAGTGAGAGGCAAAGGAAGAGGTGAATGTGAAAGCACTTCACACACTGTAAAACACCGGGCAGATAATAGTTTTTTTGTTTTGTTTTTTTATTCTTTCTTCTCCCCAAATCCCCCCACTACATAGTTGTATATTTTTTAGTTGTGGGTCCTTCCAGTTGTGGCACGTGGGACACCACCTCAGCGTGGCCTGATGAGCGGTGCCACGTCCGCACCCAGGATCCGAACTGGCGAGACCCTGGGCCTCTGCAGTGGAGTGCGCAAACTTAACCACTCGGCCACGGGGCAGCCCCAGATAGTAGTTATTTTTACGAATATTGTTAGAATTAATTTCAGGCAGTCCACTGCTTCAGTTCTGAATCTTTCTCATCAGCAGTGGAGGAACGAAGGGAGAACGAATGGACTACTTAGAGACCTTGGTGACATCTTTCGGTGTGCCTTCAAGCTTCCCCCACAAGATAAATCCGATTTGTGTGTGTGTGAGGAAGATTTGCCCTGAGCTAACATCTGTGTCCGTCCTCCTCTACTTTGTGTGTGGGACGCCTCCACAGCATGGCCGACGAATGGAGCAGATCTGTGTGTGGGATCCAAGCCCACGAACCCAGGCCGCCGAAGCAGAGGCGTGGAACTTTGACCACTCAGCCACAGGGCCGGACCCCGATTTTTTGTTTTTAACCCTCTTCATGGGTTCTTGGGTAACTTGCTTACATGGGTTGACTGAGCTGGAGCTCTTCAATATTTATAATCATGCCATGCATGTGGGAGGCCCCATTTGAAATGGCCCTTCCAAACAGATATTCACTGGGACAAGCCGCTCAAGAAACGCCCTGAAGACTTGCTGAAAGGGAAAACTCCTGAGACCCTGCACACACGATATCGCTTGTCTGGAGAGTGGCTCTTGGCCAAGACCTGGCAGTGGAGACAGGGACCAGTACAGCCTTGGGGACAAGGGCGCCCTTCCCTCAGAGACGCACCTCCCTTAGTCTTCCGAGAGCCAGCTTGGCTCTCACGTTGGAACGGGGGCTAAACAGGAGATCCTAGAATCATGGGATGTCTGCAGTGTTAGACGCAACGGGCCAGTAATTAGGGTTCTGAACCCCAGTTGTAGAAATTACCTGAGAAATGCTGGTACTGCAAATCTGTGTGCCTTTTGCTGGATAGAGAAACTAGCTTTCACTAGATTTCTATAGGGTTTGTGCCCCCCTCAAAAATGTTACAAATAGTTAACCTAGTTCAACTTTCCCTAATTTGTTTTAAACTTAAATTTTTTTCTTATGAAAAAAGGAATCCACTTAAAGTTTAACTCTTTACACTTCTTCAACTTAAAGTCAGGTCCATATCAATGCACATTAGAAAAGAAATACGTATTTATTAAAGAAAACTTAGAAAATAAAGAAAAATAATAACAAGAAAAATCCCCAGCCTGGCTCCCACACGTCAATTTTTAAAAACATGGGTAAAGCCACTCAGATAAACATGTTTCTGCACAGATGCATTAAGTGTATAATTCTCTCTGAAGTTTTTAAAACTTAGTGTGTTTGCTTTCTTATATGAAGGTAGACTTTTCAACTATCACAGTAATAGTTATTCCATCGTATTGTTAGAGCATATTCTTGCTTGTTAGACGGCTACAGTGTTTCTGTGAACAACTTTTTATATCGAGTTTTCCTCTGGATTCGTTCTTTGAACCTCTTCCTCCAAGTGGGTTTGCCGTTGGAGAACACAGTTTCAGAGCTCTCATAACACTGCTGTCTGGGAAGATCGTGTGGCTTCCCAGCCATTGACTCTGCAGGCTGTTTGTCAGTGTCCTTGCCAATTGTTTGAAACAACATTTTGTTTTCTAGTTTAATAGTTGCTTTAATGGGCTTTTTTTTTCTTTTTTTGAGGAAGATGAGCCCTGAGCTAACATCTGCTGCCAATCTTCCTCTTTTTTGCTGAGGAAGACTGGCCCTGAGCTAACATCCGTGCCCATCTTCCTCTACTTTCTATGTGGGACGCCTACCACAGCATGGCTTGCCAAGTGGTGCCGTGTCCGCAGCCAGGACCTGAACTGGTGAACCCCGGGCCGCCGAAGCGGGACATGTGTGCTTAACCGCTGTGACACCGGGCCGGCCCCCTGATGGGCATTTTTAAAGTGACCTAGCAAGCCGGAGGACTTTGCTGTGAAAGAGTTCTGTTTTTCCTTGTTTAGACTGTTGGAATCCTTCGGCCGCTCGTCACAGTAATTTCTCATGTGAAGGAGATGAAGGCCAGGGAAGTTAGTGACTGATGGCCCCCGGCCAGAGGCAGAGCTGGGATGACAGTCGGGGCCTCGAGACTCCCACTTCAGGTTTCTCTCTGCTCTGTCTCTCCTGCTGTGTCTCAGCCACAGAGAATGAGCGTTTGGGGTCCTTCAGTCAGCCCCCTCCCCGTGCCCTGGCCTGTTGGATTCTCGGATCCTGCCTCTGCAGCATCCTAGATAAATGGTGACTTCTAAACTTGCCATCTCGTTAGGCAATCCCGTCCATCTTGAAGACCAGTCTAAGGGGTGGAAAAATCTTCCGAGATGCATCCATCCGTCAGATGGTTGTTGAGTGCCTCGGAGCACCGGAGCGGGTGTTACAGGGGCCGGGAAGCCAGGGTCAGCCTGCAGAGCCCTCGTGCCTGGCCCTTACGTCTCCAGGGCTGTGCAGTCAGCTTTCCTTTACTCTGTAGTCACTAAACCCGGCTCTGTGCCTCGGAGCAAGACAGAGCAGTCTGCTCCCTCTCCAACACACTGGCCCTCTCCCACCTGAACATCCCTGTCCCTTCGCCTGGTCCTCAGATGACGCGATCCCTAAAAATACCTTCCCATCGTTGTACCCATGGGATACAGCAAACATGGAAACCCAGCGACACAAGAAGAGCGAAATAAAGATGGCTCATAACCTACCAGTCAGTCCCATTCTCTCAGTTTGTTTTCGGTTCAAATTTATTTTCTGTTTTAAAGACAAGGATGATTCTGTTTTGCAACAGGCTGCATTTGTCTCACTCGGTAGTATGGCATGAACATCCTTTGATGTCACAGAATATTTTTCTACAGTTTTATCTTAAATGCTTGTGTCCTCGGCCACTGAAACCAGGATGCAGCCCCCTGTTGCCCTCTTGTCAGACATTAGGTTGTTTCTAATGTTTCTCCAGGAAAAACAGCGCTGCCATGACTCCCTTGCAGCTAATTCTTTGTACGGATCTCCGTTAATTTCCTTAATTTAAAAACCCGGAAGTGGAATTGGCTGGGAGAAAGGAGTCACACCAGGCTGGAGATGAGGTATTTCTGGATTGTCCTTCCAAGAGTGCGATGGATGTGTGGTCGTCAAGCTCCACCGCTCTCGGTCACCATGTCCTGGAAGTGCTTCCCCCTCTTGCCATCATCCGAGTGTTGCACCAGGACCGGGGGCTGCCCTGCGGGCATGGCCTGCCCAGGGTCCTTCTCTCCCTCGCTGGCCCCAAACCTTGCTTACTCTGCACTGAGGGCAGCAGGAGTTGGAGGAGGAGTTCAGGCCCACTCTTTCAGTCTGCGTGGCTCTGAGAGTTGCAGGGTGCTCCAGCCGCACCCTCGGTCTCCCCAAGTACCTGTAACCCGTGCTTTCTCGCTCTCTTTAGACCTGGGGCTCAGCGCGCTTAAGATGCCCAAAGACGCTGACAACGGAGGCAGGGCTACCTCAGGGAGCGCCCGGAAGGGACGGCGGCCGCACAGCTCCCCGCAGAACCCGCTCCTGGACTGCAGCCTGTGCGGGAAGGTGTTCAGCAGCGCCAGCTCGCTCAGCAAGCACTACCTGACGCACAGCCAGGAGAGGAAGCACGTGTGCAAGATCTGTAGCAAGGCCTTCAAGCGTCAGGACCACCTGTATGTGGGAGTCTGGGCCGACCCAGCTGGCGGGCGGGGAGGTGCGGCCATGGTCCCATGTCCTTTCGTCCCCTCCCAGATTAGCCCTCTCTGGGGTTTCCCGCTACCTTGTCCCCCACCAAGTGTGACCTCTGCTTCCTCACGGCTCCATTCGCACACTGCTGTGCAGAGGTCACTCGTCCAACCACAGATTCACACCAGGGGGGAAAGTGCTGCTGGTTTAGAGGCCTGTGATGGCTCACTCCAGGGGCGATTTCATCCTGGAGGGAACTGGGCGCACTCTAGAGAAATATTTGGAGTCCCTGGTAGGTGTCTGAGGAGAACGGATCTGAGTTTCATAAGGAATATGTATTGAGATAACACAGGGGCGTGAAAAATTCTCAAACGCCGGTTTCTAGAACATGGCAATAGAGTGTAATTCTTGTATTTCTTTTGTAACTCCTTTTTTTAAAAATTCTTGATTTTTTTTTTTGTGAGGAAGATTGGCCCTAAGCTACATCTGTGCCAATCTTCCTCTATTTTATGTGGGACGCCGCCACAGCGTGGCTTGATGAGCAGTGTGTAGGTCCATGCCTGGGATCCAAACCGGCAAACCCTGGGCTGCTGAAGCAGAGTATGCAAACTTAACCTGCTCCACTAGGCTGGCCCCTTGATTTTTTTTTTTAACTTGATTTTAAAAAGAAAGCCCATTATAAGGATTAGGAGCAGAATTCCCTGTGTTCTTAATGTCTTGGAAACAATAAGCCTTTCTTGCTAGTGAGGAAGGAAAGATGGACTTTTTTCAAACCAAGAGACTTGCCAGTGGGAGAGGCCAATCCTTTGCTTTGTTATAGCTCTCCGAACCTTTCCAGGGGGCTTTGATTAATCTCCCCTTCATTTCATCCCCTCTCCCACCCCCTCCCCAGGGAAAGGAAGTAATGCTCATGTGGCAAGTGGGGATCAGTTGGGGCTAGAAATTGGGTCTCCCGATTTCTTCTCTGATGCTTCCCTCAGAGGGAGGCCACGGGTCAGCCTTGGGGAAGAGCTGATTGTTTCTTGGGCATCCCCGTGTGTCCCGTTTATAATAGGATTGTCCAGAGTAGGACTCTTGGGAACCCAGAGGCTGACTTACTCGTTTGTTTATATTTATAACACGTTAACGTCGGTATCAGTATGATATGAATATGATACATATTCGTATTCATTTATATTTGCAGAAATTATAGGCAATTTGGCTGTTTTCTAGAAAGTTTTTACTGATTGGGCATCTGTGAATTTTTTTTTTTTTTTTTTTTTTTTTTGCTATAGTGGGTTCCAGATAGCTGTCTCCTTAGAGGAATCCTATGATAAGGCCAAGACTCCTTTGCTGAAGGAAAGATCATCCCCAAGTTAGCATTTCCTCTGGTGCATTCTGCAGAACTTTGGTTCTCAAGGATGCTAAAAGGGGCCATTTGAAAAAATGGTCCTGTGAGCCAATAAGTCTGAGAGACGTCGAAAGTTGCACAGATGTCTCTCTGTCTGTCTCCTTATGTGGCTTTTAAATTTGCTGCTGTGCACTGTGAACCACCAAGGAGCAAATAGTGCTTTTTCAAGGCTTATTAGCCAGCTGAGCCCAGGTCCTCAGGGAGCTACTCTGGAGGACTGGTGTTCCTTGGGAACCCACTTTGGGGACCTCCAGCCTGACTTCTGTGGATTTTTTTCTCAGATAAGGGGTTTGCTTAAAGGTGAGGGACAGGAGCGCCCCTTCCAGATTGCTTTGACCCTGGCGGGGGCTGCTCATGTCTGTCCTGGGGCGCCGAGTACAGGTTCTGAATTGTGGTGCAGACGCGCCCTGGCCCTGGGGACGCGTCTGGGCTCTGCAGTGGCAGGCCCGCGCCGGGCGCCCGCTGACTTCCTTCTCACGTGTGACTTCAGCACGGGGCACATGCTCACCCACCAGAAGACCAAGCCGTTCGTGTGCATCGAGCAGGGCTGCAGCAAGAGCTACTGCGACTACCGCTCGCTGCGCCGGCACTACGAGGTCCAGCACGGCCTGTGCATCCTGAAGGAAGCGCCCCCGGAAGAGGAGGCCTGCGGGGACTCGCCCCACGCCCACGAGGTGGCCGGCCCCACTGCACCGGGCGGCCTGCGCTCCCTGGGGCCCCCGGAAGCCAGGTCCCCAGGCTCCCTCTTGCCCAACAGAGACCTCCTGCGCTGTATTGTGAGCAGCATCGTCCATCAGAAGATCGCTTCTCCTGGCCCAGCCCTGGCGGGGCCTTCGGACAGCGGCGAAGGGAGGAGCGTGGCCTACCCCTGCCCGCCCTCATCGGGCTCCTCCTGCACCACAGCGGCCTCGGGAATCCTGGGCCCTGAGGTTCCCGAGGAGCCTTGCCCCCCACGGAAGGAGCCCACTGCTGCCGACGTGTTCACCACCATCCACTCGAGGGCGGCGGAGAATGGCGGCGCTGACCCAGCCGAGTCGGAGCCGTCGCTGCTCCAGCTCCCGTCCTCCCTGGAGGGCTGGCCGGAGGGCGGCCCCCTGCCTGCCTGCCTGCCTGTTTTCCGAGGCCAGACGGCGTCTGCCAGTTCCCAGCCATCGAGCCACAACTTCAAGTGGCTCCGGAACCGGCCCGGCTGCCCCAGGAGCAAAGGGAACAACATGTTCACTGTCCACAAGCTGCCTGCGCTGCCGTCCCAGGAGGGCTCCGAGTCCTTCCCTGTGGGGGAGCCCTCGCCTGGCCCGGGCACCAGCCTGGAGGACACGCTGCCCTTCCCTCCCTCGCTCCTGAAGGCGCCTGCAGAGGCGTCGGGCGACCCCAGGTATGCCAGTGGGGAAGACGACCCCTGGGCTTCCAAGAAGAGCAAGTTTGACTGCGACTCCTTCGCGTGGCCGAGCCCTGGGGAGCCCGGCCTCCAGGGTGTCCAGAAGCCGAGTGGGCTGCCGTCGTCGGATGCCACACCGCTCTTCCGGCAGCTGTTCCTGAAGTCGCAGGAGTCTGTGGTGAGCCACGAGCAGAGGCAGGTGTTCCAGATGCTCACCAAGTCCCAGCGCATCTTCTCCCATGCCCAGGTGGCCGCAGCCTCCTCCCAGCTCCCCGTGCCCGAGGGCAAGCAGGCCGCCCTGAAGCCACTGCAGGGGCCGTGGCTGCAGCAGCCCCCGGCCCTGGCACCCGCTGTTGACTCTCTCCACCCTGGCCCTGGGAACCCGGAGCCAGAGGGATCCCCAGCCCGCAGGAGGAAAACCGTGCCCGCCTTCCCTAGAGAGGCCTCCCCAGCCAATGTGAGGCGGGACTCAAAGGGAGGGCCCAAAGTGGCCGCTGCTGCACAGTCCCTCACAGCGTCATCTCTGGACCCTCCCGGGAATCCAGACATCTCTCTGGCCAAGCAGTTGAGATCTTCGAAAGGAACCTTGGACCTGGGGGACGTCTTCTCCCCCGGGGGCCCACGGCAGACCCAGTTAGGTGGGGACGAGCTGCCCGGAGCCCAGCTCCCCGGGAAGCAGGCCCAGGCTGAGAATGGCACGGCTTTGGGAGCCACGAAGGGCGAAAAGGGCCCGGCCTGCTCCCGGGGCGGAGGCTACAGGCTCTTCTCCAGCAACCCCAGGGCCCAGCGCTTCTCTGGCTTCCGGAAGGAGAAGGTGAAAATGGATATGTGCTGTGCGGCGTCTCCCAGCCAGGTGGCCATGGCCTCCTTCTCGTCCACCGGGCCTCCGGTGGACCCCCCCCGGGACCCGAAGTCCAAGCTGACGATATTCAACAGAATCCAGGTACCGGGACCCTCTCTCCTGTGACCTCACCTCCCATGAGGCGAGAGTCTCATTCGTTAGACGTTTCCACGTTTCTAGTTGTGCGGGCATTTCATTTAACTTCTGAATTCTCAGATGCAGTTTTATGGGGGGGATGAGGTTCAGAGAGATTGTGGTTCCCCCCATTAGCCCCACCCCTGCCAAAAAAAACCCAAAACCAGAACGAGGGTTGCATGGAGTTGTCAGAGACGCCCTGTGCCGTGCTGCTTTCTCACTGTGCTTGTTGTGCTTGCTTTCTCTCTGCCTTTCTCTTCCTTGTGGATTCGCCTCCTTGAATTCTTCAGAGGATATGAAATAAAGCTCCTTTCCCCTCGAGTCTCCCCACGTGAAACGCCAAGTCTTTTCTGGCTGTGAGTCCGGGTCCTGCCGCCCGTCGGTGCTTGTGGAGCATCAGCTTGGTTCCTCCCCACATCGTGCCGCGAGGTCCTGGGTGCAGGCAGCTTGGCCAGTTCTCTTGGTGACGTGCTGAGCTCCAGCATCCTTCCTGTCACGCCACAGCTACCTTTTTTTTTTTTTTTTAACTTTTTTAAACAGCTTCAATATTGGCATACCATCTAATTCGCCATCTTAAAGTGTACCGTCTGGCGGTTTTTAGTGTATCCATCACTGCTCTTTGCCAGAACATTTTTATCACCCCAAAAAGAAACCCCGCACCCTTAGTTGTCACTGTCGATCTCTCCATCCCTCCCAGTTCCTGACGACCGCGGATCTGCCTTCTGTTTCTATGGATCCGCCCATTCTGGACGTTTCCTATAATTAGCGTCATCCTCTACGTGGCCTTTTGTGTCCGGCTTCTTTCACTCAGCATGATGTTTTCAAAGTTCTGCATGTTGTAGCCTGGATCAGCGTTTCATTCTTTTTATGGCCGAATACTCTTCCTTTGGAGTAATATATCACGTCTGGTTTATCCGTCCGTCAGGGGCTGGGCATTAGGGTTGTTGCCGTTGCTTGGTCCTTGTGAACAGTGCTGCGGTGAGCCTTTGTGTACCAGTTTCTGTGTGGACGTATGTTTTCATTTCTCTTGGGAAACACCTAGGAGTGGAATTGGTGGGTCGTAGGGTCCCTCTGTGTCTAACTGAGGAACCGCCAGACTGTCCCAAAGCAGTGACGCCGTCCCACGTCCCACCGCAGTGTGGAGGGCGCCAGCTTCTCCACGTCCCCACCAACGCTTGTTACGGTCCTGTCGTTTCCTCTCAGAGCAGCCATCGTCGTGGGCGTGAAGGGTGGCTCATTACAGTTTGATCTGCATTTTCCTGATGGCTGCTGAGGTCGGCCGTTTGTATGTCCTCCTTGGATAAGTGTCTGTTCAGATCCGTTGCCCAGTTTTAAATTGGGTTATCTTTTTATCATGAGCTGTAAGAGATCCTTGTGTGTGATAGACAGAAGGCCCCTCTCAGGTAGATGACCTGCGACTCTTTCCTCCTGTCCTGTGGGCTGTCTTTGCCCTTCTCGACAGTGTCCTTGGAGGCGCAGAAGTTCTAAGTTTTGGTGAAGTCCGCTTTGTCTGTTCTGTCTTCTGTTCTGGCGTCGTCCAGGAAACCATTGGCTAGCCCGGGGTCGCAGAGAACGACGCCTGTGTTTCTTCTGGGAGCCTCAGAGTTTAGCTCTTGCTCAGCTGCCGCCTGCTGCTGGCTCAGATGTGTTTTCATCTTCAGGGTGGGAACATCTACCGGCTCCCCCATCCGCTGAAGGAGGAGAACACGGCGGGCGGATGGTAAGTTCGGAAGCCGCTCCCCGCCCGCCCAGGGGGCTCCCCGCGCAGGAGTCCTCGGGGGTTTTCTTGCGCTGGCCCGGGGTGAGCGAGCACGGGACGCTCCCGCCCTGAGGAGGCGTGCGCCGGGCCCTGAAGAGTTGGGGTGTCGTCTCCACGTCTTAGGGCTCGTCAAGAGTTGCCAGTGGATCAGACTGAAAAACCAAAAACAAAATCGTAGTCCCGTTCTCCCCTTCTTCCCTCCTGCATGTCCTCCCACAGTAACCAGCAAAACGGGGGCCCTGCAGACTGGGCAGAGCCGAGGAGCACTTACGTCTGCAAGAATTGCAGCCAGATGTTTTATACCGAGAGAGGGCTGGGCAGCCACATGTGTTTTCACAGCGACCAGTGGCCGTCACCTCGAGGGAAGCAGGAGCAGCAGGTGACGGGGCGCCGGCCGCAGGTTCTCTGCTTACAGGGTTTCTGACAGGCTTAGGGGAGAAGCGGCGGGGTGTCACTGGTCTCAGGATGGAGACGTCCTGCTGGGGGAAGCCTGGCCAGGGGGCAGGGAGTCAGGGCTGTGCCGCTCGGAGGGGGCGGTCTCTCCCCTGGCCCTGCCCCCAGCCTCGCTGCCCAGAGGCCGCCCGTCTTTCCCCTGCCAGCTGTTTCTCTGAGAGAGCCATCCCTTCTCCACGTCTAGGTGTTTGGCACAGAGTTTTGCAAGCCCCCAAGACAGGTGCTGAGGCCAGAGGGGGACGGGCAGAGTCCCCCGGGAGCCAAGAAGTCTTTGGACAACACAGCCGCAGCCTCTTGGGGGACCCCTGTGTCTGTGCCTGGGGCTCCAGCGAGCCGACCCCTGGGGAGCACGGCCAAGGTGGGTGTTTACTAGCCCCTTCCTTCCTGCCGGTTCCGCACCTCCCCGTGGAAGCTGTGGGAAAAGCCCGAACCAGATACCACGGGAGATCCTGACTCCAAAAGAACTTGGTTTGTGCGTTCATTCAGTCATTCAACATCCACTGAGCGTCCTTTGCCCAGTCCTGTGCTGGGCAGTGCCAGGAACTCTGCAGTGACCACAGCAGCCCCAGCCCTGTCCTGCTGGGGGTCACAGTCCAATGGGGTAGACAAACCCCTCCCCAGACAATGATGACCCAGGGTGGGCAGGCCTGGGGGGTGCAGAGGACCTGGGGGAGACCAGCCTGAGGAGGTGAGGGAGGGCTTCCTGGAGGAGGGGGTGTTGGAGCCGAGACCTGGAGGATGAGGAGGAGGAAGACTGGCAGGAGGGGAGACCACGTCGGGGTGAGTTTCGCAAGTTCAGGCCATTAGTCCCGTCAGCCGGAGCTGAGGATCTCACCCGGAGACGCTTGTGCTGGACTCGGGGACAGAGTGTGTGGACCCACAGGCCCCTCGAGTCCGTGACTGGATCCCATTGTCCATCTCACGGGAGCTGCTGTCATTTTGAGGGGAGGTTTTTCATGTTGTCACACTGTTGCACTGCGTCTCTGGCTCCCTCTCTCTGATGGTCAATTTTAGCCTCACACGTTTCCAGATCCTCCAAGTCAGGGCCTCTCCTTGGGGCTGTGGGCACGAGAATGTAGCCAGGCTTAGGATCCGGGGTCTGGCCCAGGCGCGGTGGCCCTGCTCGGCCTCCTTGGCTGAGGTTGCCCGTGCGGATGCACAGGTGTGTGCGTGTCGTACTTCTCTCTGTCCTGTGGGCAGTCCCCTGGTCCCATCTGGCCCATCGTGAAGACGGCTGAGTGGGAGGAGGCCTCCAGTGAGCCCTGTGGTTGTGAACTCTCTTCTTCTCCAGGGACAAGAGAAAGACGGGGACGAGAGAGACAGCAAGGAGAGCAGCCAGCAGAGAAGGCGGAAGAAGCGCCCGCAGCCCAAGGTGCTGTTCCTGCCTCCACCGCCCTCCGCGCCTGGGGAGCCGGGCCCAGGAGGCTGCCACCAGAGCTGCCTGCGCTCGCCCGTGTTCCTGGTGGACCGCCTCCTGAAGGGGCTGTTCCAGTGCTCGGCCTACACGCCGCCCCCCATGCTCAGCCCCATTCGCGAGGGCTCGGGGCTGTATTTCAGCACGCTCTGCGCCGCGTCTGCCCAGGCCAGCCCCGACAAGCTCCTCAGCACCCTGCGCGGTGAGTCCGGCTGGGCTGGCCGTCTGCGCGTCCATGGTGGGCCTCCGGGGCCGGGGCTGTCTGCGGCCAGCAGTCTTCTAGGCACTTAGAGCCTTATAGCCCGAAAGAAAACCATGAGGCCATTTAGCCTGACCACTCTTCCACCTGCCCTTTGAGTGATTTTTAAAATAACTTTATCGAGAGAGAATTCACATACCATATGGATCACCCACTTAAAGTATACACTTTAAAAATTATATTCACGGGGTTGTGCACCCCTCACACAATGTAATTTTAGAGCATTTTCATCACCCTCAGAAGCAGCACTGTATCCAGTACCAGACAACACACACACCCCGTAGCCCCCATCTCCTCAGCCCCGGGCAACCGCCAATCTACTTTTTCTCTTTATGCATCTGCCTGTTGTAGACGTTTCATATAATTGGAATCATATAAAGTGCCATTTTGCATGTAGTTTATTCATTTAGATAACGTTTTCAAGATTCATCCATGTTGTCGCATGTATTGATGTTTCATTCTTTTTGATGACTGAATAATATTCCATTGTGTGGATATACCGCATTTCATCCATTCAGCAGTTGATGGGTATTTGGGTTGTTTCCACTTTTTGGCTGTTACAAGTACTGCTGTTAGGAATATTCATGTACAAGTTTTTATGGGACATGTTTTCATTTCTCTTGGGTATATGCCTAGGAATGTAGTTGCTAGGTTATAGGCTAACTCTGTGTTTAACCATTTAAGGAACTGCCAGACTGTTTTCCAGAATGGCTGGGCCATTTTAAATTTCACCAGTCTCACATGAAAATTTCAGTTTCTCCACATCCTTGCCAATACTTGTTATTGTCTGTCTTTTTTATTATAATCATTCTCGTTGACGTGAAGTGGTATCTCATTGTGGTTTTGATTTACATTTCCTTCATGGCTAATGATGTTGAGCATCTTTCCACATGTGTATTGTCCATTTATAGATCCTCTTAGATGTGTCTATCAGAACCTTTGCCCATTTTTTTTTTTTGAGGAAGATCAACCCTGAGCTAACTGCTGCCAATCCTCCTCTTTTTGCTGAGGAAGACTGGCCCTGAGCTAACATCCATGCCCATCTTCCTCTACTGTATATGTGGGACACCTGCCACAGCATGGCTTGACAAGTGGTGCGTAGGTCCATGTCTGGGATCCAAACTTGCAAACCCCGGGCTGCCGAAGCAGAGCACATGCACCCAACCATTATGCCACTGGGCTGGCCCCAACAGTTTTTTACTTTCAGCATTTTGAATGTCTTAGCCCACTGCCTTCTGACTTCCATCATTTCTGATGAGAAGTCAGCTGTTAACCTCATGGCGGGGTGGGGGGGGGGTGCCCTCATATGTGATGAGTTGTTTTTCTCTGTTTGCTTTCAAGATCTTATCTTCATCCTTGGCTTTTGACGTTTTGCCTATGATGTGTCTGGATGTAGGGCTCTTGGTATTTATCCTACTTGGAGTTCTTAAGCTTTTTGGATGTGTATATTGTTCTTCATCAAATTTGGGAAGTTTTCAGCCATTAGTACTTTAATACTCTCCTGTCCCTTTCTCCCTTCCTTCTAGTACTCCCATTACACGTATGTTGATGCACTTAATGATGTCCCCCATTTCTCTCTTCATTTTCCTTCATTCTCTTTTCTCTCTGTTCGTCAGATTCCATAATCTCTCTTCATCTGTCTCCAACTTTGCTGATCATTTCTCCTGCTGCCCCAAATCTCCTGTTGAGCCTCATTTTGGTTATTGTACTTTTTTAACCCCAGAGTTTCCATTTGGTTCTCTTTTTATGACTTCTGTCTCTTAATGATATTCTCTCTTTGATGAGAAATTTTACTATACCTTCCTTTCATTCTTTAAGCATGAGAGCTGGGGAGAGAGGGACCCCTGTCTTCTTGGCTCCCTTGCCTGGAGTGGAGCACTCTGGGTAGAGCTGTTACGCAGAGCTGGGGGCTGGGTGGATGCGGGCGCGCGTCACAGCACAGTTGCCACAGAATCTCACTGTTCTTACCAAGGTTTAGTTGATTTTCTTGAGTATTTCTTAAAATGCTGTATGCCTTTAGGACAACTTCCAGAGACTTTAACTTACTATTTTTTAATAGAATTTTCATCAGCTACTTTGTTGTTTTGCTGAGTTCCTTATTATTCATTTTTTAGAAGTCCTATCCCCCTTCCATGCAGTCTTTTTTTAAATTTTATTTTATTGTGATAATAGTTAACATGAGATCTATCCTGTTAACAGATGTTTAAGTGTGCAATACAGAATTGTGACTACAAGTACAGCCTTGCACAGCATATCTCTAGAGCTGCTTCTTCTTGCTTCACTGAAACTTCATGCCCATTGGTTAGCGACTCCCCATTTCCCACGCCCCCAGCCCCTGGCAACCGCCATTCCATTCTTTGATTATCTGACTACTTGACATATTTCATGGAAGTGGAATCGTGCAGTATTTCTCTTTCTGTGACTGGCTTATCACTTAGCATAATGTCCTCAAGGTGCATCCGTGTTGTTGCATATTGCGAAGTTTTCTCTTTTAAGGCTAATTAGTATTACGTTGTATGTATACATCACATCTTCTTTATCCATTGACCCGTCAGTGGACACTTAGGTTGTTTCCACATTTTGGCTATTGTGAATAATGCTGCAAGGAACATGGGAGTGCAAACATCTCTTCGAGATCCTGATTTCAGGTCTTTGGGATAAATACCCAGAAGTGGGATGGCCGGATCATTTAGCAGTTCTATTTTTAATTTTTTGAGGAACCTGCATACCGTATAACCTGAAAGAGTCTGCTTTCAGCTGCCCTGTGAAGGCAGGCAGAAGGGGCCCTGCGGATCCCTTCTAGTCAGTCTTCTTGAGGATTTTCACTGTGTGTTTTCTAGGTCAAATGGATGGTTCTTTTGGCATCTGTGTGGTGAAGGACGACACTAAGATCAGCATTGAACCGTGAGTTGGAACAGACTTAGAACCTGAGGGTCCTCCCAAAGTGGGGACACTTTCACCCTCCTTGCATTCCAGCGTCACTTTTCCCAAGGGCTCCTTCATCCCAGGGGGATGAGGTCTAGTAACTGAGCCTCCCCAGGAGAGAGGTGGTGGGTTTCTCCAGGTATATGTGGGAAGTTCTCTCAATATTCCTCTGTCCAGATAGACCAGAGTTGGGCCCATGAGGGACAGACTTCCCGGGAGGTTCCAGGTAGGCTTGATGGCACAGCGTGAGACTCGTGAGCGTCCATGGAATGTGGTTAGAGGGGCGTGGCTGTGGATGTAGAAGTGTGACAGGTGTCAGCAGGTACCCCCCGTCCGGGACCCCAAGCGAAACACCTGAGGCCAGAAATTTAGTGATAAAGAAAACTGGAGGAAGGAAACATCCTTCAACAGGTTTCTGGAATGCCTGCCTGTGTCTGGCAGGGGTGATGACCACCCAGTGCATCTGAGAGATGGCGCAGGGCTTCCATAGAATGGGGCTGTGGCCGGAGAGCAGGGCACAGCACACGTGTCTCTCTTATTTCCCGTCTTAGTCACATTTGTATGTGTTGCGTGCCTGTGTGTGTGTGGCCTCCTTTTAGACACATCAACATAGGAAGCCGGTTTCAGGCGGAGATCCCAGAGCTCCAGGAGAGATCGCGGGCTGGAATTGATGAGCATGTCGCTTCTCTGGTCTGGAAGCCATGGGGAGATGTGATGACCAACCCAGAAACGCAGGATAGAGGTGGCTGAGGCCAGATTCCCAAGGCCCCTGCTTCCCCCTCCATCTCCACGGGGTTTCTCCTCCCAGTTCTTGCCTTGACCAGGGAGCACCGTCCCCGGGGGGAGCTAGTCCTTGGCCCCATATTCCTCCTCCCGTGCTGCCTTCTCCCACCCCCCCGCCTCATCTCACACAGTAGCTGGTCCAGAGCAGGTGCCAGGAGCAGAGTTTCTGCCCTTCTTCCTTGTCCCTCCCTTCCCTCAGCCTGCCATCAACGAGATGTGAGGGAGATGGTGACAAGGACCCTCCCCCCTGTGCCCCTGCTATTGGGGATGTCTCCTCCTGGCCCTCGCTCACTCCCTCTGTCTCCTCTCCCTCACACTCTGCTGGGACCGCTCGCTGGAAACACAGTGACTGAGCTCTGTAACGTGGCCTGCTCCAGTGTGATGCCCGGCGGGGGCACCAACCTGGAGCTCGCTCTGCACTGTCTGCACGAAGCCCACGGCAACGTTCAGGTGAGGCGGCAGCAGGGCCAGGGCTCGGGGCGCCTGGGGCAGCTCCCTGCTCTCCTGGGGCTGGGGGCTCTGGGTGCATGCCGTGTGCCATCTGCTTGGGGGTTTGCAGTCACTGAAAACTGAAAGAAGCCCCCCCCATTCTTCTCCCCCTGGCTTTGGGATTGGCATGGTCCTTGTGAACTGGAGGGGAAATGCACTGACATGGCCTCAGCCAGCCAGTTATTTCACTGGGGCGACAACAGAGCACATATCTCAGGGGGAACCCAGTAGACCCAGCCTAGGTCCTGCAATAATCTGGTTTATTTCCTGAGCTTTATGGTTTTGATTAAAAACCCACGTGTGAAAACCTGTGATGCAACAGAAGAAGGAGGAAGATTTGCAACAGATGTTAGCTTAGGGTGAATCTTCCCCTGTAAAAAAAAGAAAAAAAGTATTAAAAAAATTGTCAGATAATGATTAGTGCTGTGAAGATGGGGCAAGGGCGGTGCTCCTCCAGACTGGTCCCTGATGAAGCGAGGAGCTCGTGCCAGAATAGACGCACACGCCGCTTCCTCCATCGAGAAGCTCTTGCTTTGAAAAAGTGATGGCAGCTGCGTGCGGCGGTACGCCTAGCGGTGAAGTCCGTGTGCCTCAGACAGCTCACAGGCACTTGGGGTGGCCCCGGGGGAGGGCAGGCTTTAGGGAGTGCGCTACTGAATGAGGAGAGGATGAAGGTGGGCCGCGCCCTCCCCGCCCTCCCCCGGTTGGTGGCCTGACCTCCTCTTGTTCCAGGTTGCCCTGGAGACCCTCTTACTGAGAGGACCGCAGAAGCCGCGGACGCACCCCCTCACCGACTACCGCTACACAGGTGACTGGAGCAAGGCTGCGGCCTGGGCGCCGCCCGGCTGAGACCCCTGGTGACCATCAGTCTCAAGCTCTGCCTGAGCCTCTCGGAGTTCTCTCGGGGCTTCCGGCCTTTCCGGAGGGCTCATCCTCTCCAGGGCAACCCAGGGGGCGCCGTTCTCTTCTAGCTGGATCCCACCGTCCCCTTTACCAGGGGTCTCCTAGGGGGCCCTGCCCTCCAGGAAGGGGGTGCTCCTGGCCCCAGGGAGGTGGAGGCTCAGGTTCAGCGTCTGAGCACAGCAGCCCGGGAGTCAGGCAGCCCGGGGCCCCCGCCTGCCCTTCGCGAGACCGTTAAGTGGTGGGAGCCTCATCTGTAAAGTGGGGACAGTAATGGTTCCGACCTGCTAAGGTGGTTGTGAGGATTGTATGAAATAAAGCAGGTTCGGGGCTTCGCAGAATGTTCGGCACCTAACCGGCTCTCGGTAGCGGCAGCTTTGAAAAGATGAGTGGCCTGCATTTCAGCTGGGGCTGCGGTCCCTGAAGGAGAAACGTCCTCCCCTCTCTTGGCTGTTTCTCCGCTAGGTTCGGACATCTGGTCGCCCATAGAGAAGAGGCTCTTTAAGAAGGCGTTCTGTGCCCACAAGAAGGACTTCTACTTGATACACAAGACGGTAAGGCGAGTGGGGGCGGGCGCCTCCCACAGCCGTAGTGGAGTTGGAGCAGAGGGCCATCAGGGCACGCTCTGCTCCCACTGTAAGCAGTTAATGCATTTAAAACGCCCTGGTTGGGGCCGGCCCGGTGGCACACTGGTTAAGTGCGCACGTTCTGCTTCGGCGGCCCGGGGTTCGCTGGTTCGGATCCCGGGTGCAGACATGGCACCGCTTGGCACACCATGCTGTGGTAGGCGTCCCACATGTGAAGTAGAGGAAGATGGGCACAGATGTTAGCTCAGGGCCAGTCTTCCTCAGCAAAAAGAGGAGGACTGGCAGTAGTTAGTGCAGGGCCCGTCTTCCTCCAAAAAAAAGCCCTGGTTGTGAGCAAGTCCAAAAAGTACAGAAATGCATCACGTGCTCAGAATAAAGCCCTCCACGTCCCTCCCCGCAGCCCTGCTTCTGACCGACTTCCCACTGTTTGGCTGTACACTTCAGGCTGCTGCCCATACAGGTGTTACACATATATATTGGGTTGGATTAATGCCGTCAAGTCGATTCTGACTCCCGGCAACCCTGTGTGCAACAGAGTGGAGGCCTGCGCCACCGTCTGCCCTTCCGGCCTCCATCAGACACGCTCCGCTGCTGTTCACAGGGTGTTCATGGCCAGTTTCCTCGGAAGTGGGTGCCCGGGTCCCTCTTCCTGGTCTGTCTACTCTGGAAGCTCCGCTGAAACCTGTGCACCATGGGGGCCCTGCTGGTGTTTGAAATCCCAGGGGCACAGCTTTCAGCATCACAGCCACACGCAGCGGCCGCTGTCCTGCCAGTTCCCTGACTGGGAAGGGGACCCAGGCCAGGGTGAGAGCCCCGAATCCTAACCACTAGACCCCCCGGCCGGCTGCACACGTAGATGCAGGTACTCAGAAAAGGATGAGCTCACACTACATTTAATGTCTTACTGATTTTTTTTGTTCTTTTTGTAACTTGATGTACACAAAACTGTACATAATCGAAGTGTAAGATTTGATGTCTTGACATATTCGTACACCTGTAAAACCATCACCACAACCAAGATAATGAACGCATCCATCCCCCTCGAAGTTTCCTCCTGCCCCTTGGGAACCCCTCTTTCCTGCCCCGCCCCGTCCCTGGTCCGCTCCTTACCTACTGTCTGTCACTATGAATTGATTGGCACTGTCTGGCTTCTTACACTCAGCATAATTATTTTGAGATTTCGAGATTCGTCCGTGTTGTCGTGTACTGGTGGTTCACTCCCTTTTATGGGCGAGGAGTGTTCCATTGTGCGGATGCACCACAGGTTAATCATCCACCTGTCGATGGATATCTGGGTGGTTTCCACTGATCGACAGTTACGATATAGCTGCCGTGAACATTTGCATACAAGTCTTTATATGGATATGTACTTTTTCCAGGGGTAAATACCTACGGGGAACGAGTGGACCATAGGGCAGGTATATGTTTAACTTTCTAAGAAACTGCCAATCTGTTTTCCAAAGTGGTTGTGCCATTGCACATGTCCACCAGCGGGTACGCGGGCTCCAGTTACTCCACGCCCTCGTCAACACTTGATGTGGTCGGTCTTTTTAATTTTAGCCGTTCTAATGAGTGTGTGGTATCTCAGTGCATTTCCCTGATTACTAATGATGCTGAGCATCTGTTCATGTGCTTATTTGCCGTGGGCCTTCCCTGCTGAGGTGTCTGTTCACGGCTTTTGCCTGTGTTTTTGTTGGGGTGTTGGTGTCTTTTTGAGTTGTAGGAGATCTTTATTTGTTCTGGACACAAGTCCCTTATCCAGATATATGCTTTGCAAATATTTTCTCCAAATCTACAGCTTTTCAGTCTCTTAGGAATGTCTTTTGAAGAAAAAAATTTAATTTTGAGTTCAACTTATTAATTTTTCTTTTATGGACCATGCTTTTGGTGTCATATCTAAGAAATCTTTGCCTGACTCCAGGTCACAAAGATTTCTCCTACATCTTCTTCTAGAAGTTTTATCATTTTAGGTTTCACATTTAGATTTGTGATCCATTCTGGGTTAATTTTTGTATGGGCTACAAGGAATAGATAGAAGTTCATTTTTTCCATGTGGATATTTAATTGTTACGGTGCCTTTTGTTGTAAAAACCATATTTTTATCCACTCAGTTGCCTTTCCACATTTGTTAAATGTCAGGTGGCCATATACGTACTGGTCTGTTTTGGACTCTGTTCTGTTCCATTGATCCATTTGTCTACCATAAGCTGTTACCACACTGTCGTTATTACTGGAGTTTTCTAAGAAGTCCTGAAATCAGAAAATGTTAGTCCTTCGACTTTGTTATTCTTTTTCAAAGTTGTTTGTTTTATTCTACGTCCTTTACATTTCCATAGGAATTTTAGAATTCGTTTGTCAGTTTCTTTAAAAAAACTTCAGCTCTGCTGGGATTTCGATGGACACGGTGTTGAGTCTATCAATGATCAGTTGGGGAGAACTGACATCATAGCAATATTGCGTCTTCTGCCCCAGGAACAAGGCATAACCTCTCTAGTTATTTAAATCCTTAATTTCTCTCAGCAATGTTTGGAAGTTTGCAGCATACAGATGCTGCACACCTTTCGTCAGATTTATTCCTAAGTACTTCTGATTTCTGTGCTGTCATAGAAGGTCCTTTTTTATTTTGATTTCCAATAGTTTGTTGCTTGTGTGTATAGAAATAAAATTGATGTTTGTATTGATCTGTTCTGCAGCCTTGCTAAACTCACTTAGTAGTTTTTGTAGCTTTTTTGTAGATTCCGTTGGATTTTCTACATAGACAATCATGTCAGCTGCAGATAGAGTTTTTTTTCTTCCTCTCCAATCTGGATGTCTTCAGTTTTTTCTTGGCTCATTAGCCGCCAGTACACTTTCGAGTAGAAATGGCGAGAGTGGACATCCTTGTCTTGTTTATGATCTTCGAAAGGAAGCCATTCGGTCTTTTACCTCTTAAGTATGATGTTAGCTGTAGGTTTACTGTAGAAATCCTTCATCAGGTTGAAGAGGTTCCTTTTATTCCTAGCTTGCTGGGAGTTTATGTCAGCAGTGGATACTGGATTGTATCAGATGCTTTTTCTGCATCTTTTGAGATGCTTGTATGGTTGTTCTTTTTTAGTTTCCTATGATGAACTACATTGATGTTTGATGTTAAACCAAACTTGCCTTTCTGGGATGAGTTCCACTTGGTCATGGTATATTGTCCTTTTTATATATATATTATTGGATTCTGTTTGTTAAAATTTTGTTTAGAATTTTTCATCCATGTTCCTGAGGGATGTTGGTCTGTAGCTTTCTTGCCTTGTCATATTATCATCTGGCTTTGCTGTCAGGGTGACAGTGTCCTTACGGAATGAGTTGGAAGTGTTCTCTCTGCTTCAGTTTTTTGGAAGAGTTTGTTTAGAACTGGTTTCATTTCTTCCGCAAATGTTTGGTGGTGAAGCTACCTAAGCCTGGAGTTTTCTTCGTGGGAAGGTTTTGAACTGCAAATTCAATTTATTACCAGATGTAGAGCTATTCAGGCTATCAATGTCTTCTTGAGTGATTGTTGGTAGTTTTTGTCTTTCAAGGAATTTGTACATTTCTTCTCAGTTGATGATATATTAGCATACAGTTCATAATATCCTCATATTATCCTTTTTGTGTGTGTAGACTATAGTGATGTCACCTGACTCCTGATATTAGTCATTTGTCTTTTTATTTTGATCACTCTGGCTAGAGGCTTATCAATTTTATTGATTTTTCTCAAAGAACCAGCTTATGGTTATGTTGATATTTTCTATTTAGTTGATTTCTGGGGGCCGGCCCCATGGCTGAGTGGTTGAGTTCACGCACTCCACTTCAGCAGCCCAGGGTTTGGCCAGTTCGGATCCTGGGTGCTGACGTGGCACCGCTCATCAGGCCACGCTGAGGCGGCGTCCCACATGCCACAACCAGAAGGACCCACAACTAGAATCTACAACTGTGTACTGGGGGGCTTTAGGAAGAAAAGAAAAAAGAAGATTGGCAACAGATGTTAGCTCAGGTGCCAATCTTTAAAAAATATATAAATAAATACTTGATTTCTGCTCTGCTCTTTATTGGTTCCTTTCTTCTGCTTGCTTTGGGTTTCATTTGCTCTTTTTTTAGTTTCCGAAGGTGGAAGCTGAGGTCATAGATTTGAGACCTTTCTTCTTCCCTGATACAGGTGTTTAGTGCTATAAATTGCCCTCACAATACTGCTTTGATAAATTTTGGTGTGTTGGATTTTCATTTTTATTCAGTTCAAAATACTTTTTCACTTCCCTTTTCATTCCTTTTTTGACTTATGAGTTATTTAGAAGTGTGTTATTTAGGCTCCAAATATTTGAGGATTTTCCACGTCTCTTCTGTTATTGATTTTTAATTGAATGTCATTGTGATCAGAGAGATACTTTGTATGACTTGAATCATTTTAAGTTTCTTGACCCTTGTTCATGGCCCAGAACACGGTCTACATCTCGGTAAAAGATCTGAGTGCACTCATGGAAAGTGTATTTTGCTGTTTTGTTCAAGATCTTTCTAAAACGTCAGTTCAGGGTGGCTGACAGTGTGGTTCCGGTCTTCCGTACGTTTCCTGTCAACTTGTTCTAGCAATTATTGAGAATGAGATACTAAAATATTTGGCTGTAATTGTGGGTCTGTTTCCCTCTGCAGTTCTGTCAGTTTTTACTTCATGTATTTTGAAGCTCCTATTTAGAAGCATAAACATTTAGGATTCTTATGTCCTCTTGATTAATTTACCGTCTTATCATTATGAAATGATTTTGTTTATCCCTGGTGTTACTCTTTGCTCTAAAATCTATATTTTCTGATATTAATAGAGCCAGCCCCTCCAGCTTCCTTATGATGGGTGTTTGCATGTATATCTTTTTTCATCCCCTTACTTTCAACCTATTTGTTTTTTTATTTAAAGTGTGTTCTTGTAAGGAGCATGTGTTGGGGTGTTGCTTTTTTATTCCATGTCAAATAGTCGGCCTTTTAACTGGGGTGTCTACACCGTTCACACTGAGTGTGATGTTGAAGTGGTTAGAAGAAGTCCATCATCTTGCTGTTTCTTTTCAGTTTGTCTCATCTCTTCTTACTTCCGTACCCACTTATTCTGCCTTCTTTTGGATTAATGTAGTAAACTTTAGGGTTCTGTTTTATCTCCTTTGTTTGCGTACTGTCTGTAACTCTTTATTTTGGTGGTTGCTTTTGGGTTTATAGTTTATTGTATCATTAACTTATCACAGTCTGCCTTCAAGAGTTTGATACCACTTCACGTGCAGAAGGAAAACCTTACAGCAGCGTGCTTCCACTTCCCCTCCTGACCTTTATCCTGTTGCTGTTACGCATTTCGTTTTACGTACGTTATAACCCCACAATATGTTATCAGTGCTTTTGTTTAAACAGTCACTTGTCTTTTGGAGAAATTTAAATAATAAGTCATGTGTATTTACCCACATTGTTACCATTTTCATTGCTCTGCATTCCTTTGTGTAGATCCATATTTCCATCTAGTGTCATTTTCCAGAAGAAAGTAAATGTAAATCCTTTAACATCTCTTGTAGCGCAGGTTTGCTAGTAATGAATTCTTCCAGCTTTGGTAAGTCTAAAAGAGTATTTTGCCTTCATTTTTGAAAGATCTTTTGCTAAGTATAGAATTCTAGCCTGACAGTTTTTTTCTTTCAGTAATAAAGATGTTCCTCTATTTTCTCCTGGCTTTTATTGTATCCAACAAGAAATCTTCTGATTTCTTTGTCTTTGCGTTCCTCTGTTTATAATGTGTCTTTTTTCTCTGGCTGGCTGGCTGTAGGAATTTCTCTTTATCACTAGTTTTGAGCATTTTGATTATGATGTGCTTTGTGTGGTTTTCTTCATTTTTTTTCTTGTGCTTGGGGTTGGTTGAGCTTCTTAGATCTGTGGATTTATAGTTTTCATTAAATTTGGGGAAAATCAGCCTAATTTCTTCACATATTTCTTCTGTCCCTCCCTTCTCCTTCGAGGAGATGTGTGTCAGGCTTCCTGTAACTGTCCCACAGCTCATTGATACTCTTCATTTTTATTGATTTTTTTCTCTCTCTCTGTGTTTCATTTTCTGTAGCTTCTGTTGCTGTGTCTTCAAGTCCACTAATCTTTCCTTCTGCAGTGTCTAATCTGCCATTAATCTCATGAAGTGTAGCTTTCATCTCAGACATTGTAGTTTTCATCTCCAGAAGTTCTATTTGTTTCTCTTTTCTATCCTCCATGTCTCTACTTAGTTTCTTAAACATATATTATACAGTCTAATGTCCTTCCCTGCTCATTCTAACATATGTATCTGTTCTGGGTTGATTTTTTCCCCCCATCGTATGTCATATTTTCCTGCTTCTTTGCGTGCCTGGTCATCTTTCACTGGGTTGCAGGCCTTGTGAATTTTAGCTCGTTGGGTGCTGGATATTTTTGCGTTCTTATAAATATTCTTGAACTATGTTCTAGAACACAGGTACTTGAAAACAGCCTCTTCCTTTTGGGCATTGCTTTTAGATTTTTTTTTTTTAGAGGGGCCCAGAACAGTTTTTTGTGTAGGTCTAATCATTCCTCATTACTGAGGCAAAACCCCTCTCATTCCTCTGCCAATGCCCCCTGGACTATGAGGTGTGCCCCCCGGCTGGTGGGAGCAGACACGTTCCCAGCCATGTGTGAGCGACAGACACCTTTCCCTCTGATCCTTTTGGATGGTTCTTTACCCAGTGGTGGGCAGTCTCCTCAAAGCACGGGCTGGTCAGCACTTGGCAGAACTCGAGGAGAGCTCTCTCCAGGTCTCTGGAGCCCTTCTTCTGTGCGGCTCCCTCCTCTGCCGCACTTCGTCCTGTGACTCTCACCACCTTGGTCTCCCCAGATGCTCCACTCCATCTCAACTCGGGGAGTCCACTGGGCTCTGCCTGGATCCCCCTCCCCTGGCTGATGCCTAGTGTCTTACCCACCGTTGCCTCATGTGTTTGGACTGTTTGTTTTCACTGTTGTGGATGGGAGGGTAAATCTGGTTCCTGCTGCTCCATCTTCTTTAGAAGCAGAAGCCCAACTTTCTTTTCAAACCTAGTGATATTTCTTAGGCAGGCAGAGGATGTACTGTTTTGACTCCCAGATTGTGAATACACACGAAGCTGAAAGAAATCCACGTGGAGAAAATGTTCTCTAAAGTGAGCTCCTGATGTTAAATGGCCAGCTTAATTTTCCTGAGAAATTTTCTTCCTAGAACAATTAAACTGTCCCATCCTTCTTGATTTTACAGAAGTTGTCGTTAATGGGCTCACTTCTTAGTGGAAGGAAGAGCAAATGGCAGGCTCCAAACGCCCTCGGATCCAGCCGTGCTCTCAGAACCTCCCCCTACGCTCGTGGGCCACTTTGCTCAGCCCTCTGGGGCTCTGCCTAGCTGCTGCAAAGGCTGTGTGGTCCACTGCATGGGGGCCTTCTGCTTTAATTAGCCCCTGTTGGTAAACCTGTGGCCATCAGGCCTGATGTCACCGTGAGCGTCCCTGTGGCATTCCTTCGTGTGCATCTTCCCATGGGGAAGGATTCCTGGGGTGGGCTTGCTGTTCAGAGCCTGCAGAGCTGAGATGGCGTTGGTCACGGTGCTTTCGCTCTGAACACCCTCATCACCCGGGAGGACTCTGTGATTCTCCGCCCCTTGTAGCAAAGGGGCACGCCAAGCCAGAGGGGAAAGATGTTTCAGGAGGGCTTTCAAAAAGTGGTGTTGGCCCCGTGGGGAGGGGACTTGGGGTCCACTGCGATACTCGTGGATGCTGTGAGCCGCTGCCCACAGCTGGCTTCTGTGTCCTTTCACTAGATCCAGACGAAGACTGTAGCCCAGTGTGTTGAGTATTATTACATCTGGAAGAAAATGATCAAGTTTGACTGCAGCCGAGCTCCCGGGCTGGAAAAGAGAGTCAAGAGAGATTCGGATGAGGTGGACAGGACAGAAGCAAAGGTAGACGGTCTGGGGTCTGGGGTCCAGCGCTGATCCAAGGCCCACTGCCCATCCAAGTCGCCGGCTGGGGGAGGGCGCCCCATGGGAGGGGCTTTCCTGCAGAGGATGTCAGTGCCCTGGATCCCGGCATCTCCCTTAGAAGGGCTTTTGCCCTTAACGCTGTTTTTGCCCCCTACAGGTCACTTGCAGCCCTCGGGAGAGACCCAGCCACCGTCCACCCTCTGAGTTAAAGATAAAGACCAAGAGCTACAAGAGGGAGTCCATCCTCAACTCCTGCCCAAACACTGGCCCCAAGCGGACCCCAGAGCCACCGGGGAGCGTGGAGGGCCAGGGCGTCTTTCCCTGCCGAGAGTGTGAGAGGTACCGGCCCTTTCCGCGAAGTGCTCACGCCAGCCCGCCCTCAGCCCCCTGCGGTTGCCCTCAGGGCGACCTGCCTGCCCCTGCTCTGACCCCTGTCCCCGGGTGACTCCTAGGGTGTTTGACAAGATCAAGAGTCGAAACGCCCACATGAAACGGCACCGGCTTCAGGACCACGTGGAGCCCATCGTCAGGGTGAAGTGGCCGGTGAAGCCCTTCCAGCTGAGGGAGGAGGAGGAGGAGGAGATCGGGGCTGACATCGGGCCCCTGCAGTGGTGACTCTGGCTGGCAGCCGGGCGAGGCATCCGGTCGCGGAGGGGACCTCCAGCCCTGTCACGTCACATCTCCCTTCAGCCTCTCCAAGGTGTTTAGGGCACCCCTCTGCCCTCCCCGACCCCAACTCTCCCCCACTGGTCAGCCCAGCTTGCACACATGGCAGGCATTTGGTCACAAATAGGCAGGAGAAGCACACGGTCATCCGTGAAGTCCGTGTCGGCTGGTGCCGGAGGCTCCATTCTCTCTAGGTTAATAGTCTCTCCTCTTTCGATTCCACTCCTCCCAGGGCAGGGAGGCTCTGGGAGGGACCACGTTAGATCTGCGGAGCTCTTAAATCTCAGCTCAGTTTGAGGGTTTTGTTCCATTTGTTAGATAAAGCCAAGACATAGAGAATCAGTGGGAAAATACCTTCAGATCTCCAACCTGTTGGGGCCCCCTCACCTTGGGGGTCTCTCTGCATTCCAAATTCAGTCCCTAGTCTTGCAATGACTTGTACATTGTTAGGTTTTTTTTGTACGTGTCGACTTGGAAATCTTATTAAATTGGGTTCTTGAGCAGCTGTCTCCTGGTTTCCCTGGCCTGTTGATCCAGCAGAGGCTTTGGAGCCCCTGCCACTCGCGGGACCCAAAGAGACGAGCAAGCCAGGTCCCCGCCCTGGAGGAGCTGGGGGCCATTCACTCATTGAGCAAGGGCCTACTGTGGCATGCGCCAGATGGTGCATGCAATGGGGACACAGTGACGCCAGAGGACAAACCCCTGTCCTCATGGAGCTTCCATGTTAGGAGCGGGGAGGTGGCAGTAATAAATAAGTGAGAAGGTGATTCTAGCTATCAATCGTGGGCAGGCGTTTGGTCCTAAGTTGTTAACAGAAGAGTCAGTACAGGTTTTAGCAATCAGGATGTCTCGTGGGCAGCGGCTGAGCCGAGAAACCGAGGACCACCAGCAGCGGCCAGCCTCGGTGTGTTGGCTGCCGCAGCAGCAACACTCCCCTCCTCGCTCACCAACATCTAAACCTTCCGGGGTGCGGGGAAGACACACGTCCCTCCCTCCCTCGGGTCCCTCCTCAAGAATGAGCAGAGCTGGGAGCAGCCCCCGGCCGAAGGCCCCTCAGGTCTCAGCAGCTGGAGCTGCAGGCCGTGCTCTTTCTAAACTGATCCCCGGCAGGCGGGCAGGAAATGGCCACAGTTATCCTGGACGCGCAGGATTGGCCTCCAGGACTGGGAAGAAACAGGTGCCCCCTCAAGTCCGTGGCCACCTGGATCAAAACTGGAATTCTGTTGGCCAGGAAGAGAAGAGGAAGCAGAAATGGGTAGGCAGACCTGGTGTTCGCCACAAAGAGACATGAAGAAAATAAAGCCGGGGGCCAAGTCCCCAGGGAGTGACAGGGTGTGGCAGCTGGCAGTAGGTGGACGGCCAGGGAAGGAGATCTGGATCCCAGGCTGTGGCCTGGAAAAGTGCAAACTCTGGCGAACGGAGGGCGTTGAGCTGCCTGGCCGCCGTGTGGAGGCTGGAGGAGGCTAGAGTGCAGGCCCGCATAGTAGATGGAAGGCTTTATGGTGAGGTGACCGTGGCCTGGGGTCGCAGTGAAGAGGGACAGAAACTCGGGGATTAGGGACGCATCTTACAAGTAGCCTCAGACCCGGTGATGCGTCACAGGTCACGGGGAAGGACAGATCAAGGCTGGCGTGGTAGGTTTGGGTTTGCGCAGCCGAGTAGATGCCCTTACCTCAGATGGAGAAGACGGGGACACGTCAGAGGACTCATTGCATCGAGGCGTGACTGTGTCTATGACAGCGAGTGCTGTGTTCTGAGGGACCGGCGGGGTGAAGGGGGGGTTAGTGTCACGAGGTTTCCCAGAGGGGCCACACTTCAGCTAAGTAAATCTTCCAGCTCAGGAGGGAGGAGGAGCAGAGGAGGAAGTGGAGTTTGAAGCCGTTGGGGCATTGTGGTTAAGAGAAAGGGCGCAGGCGTCAGATGAACCAGAATTTACATTCTGGCTCCTCTTCTTTGTGACCTTGGGCAAGTCACTTTCCCTGTCTGAGCCTTAGTTTCCTCATTCTGTAAAGTGGGATGGAAAATGCCTACCCTTATCTATCTGTGGAATGAGAAAATGGAAATTAAGTATTTGGCAGGGTGTAGCCACCTGAACCGAGTAGCTACCGTGTAATGAGCAGCGAGCACTCATGCTGTTGCCGTTACTCTTTGGGTCCCACCCTAAATAACAGGTTCTGCTTGATGACTCTGTAAATGAAAGACTCTGGCTTGAATGGTTGGGTGGTATATTAGATATCTATTGCTGCATAACAAATTATCCTGAAATTTAACAGCTTAAAACAAAGGGAAGCTTTTATAATAGTCCTGCTTAGACGGGCACGGAACCGAAACTGCTTGTGGTAATCCAGACTTACCCCCGACCTGATCTGTGGTCAGAGTACAGTGGCAACGACAAGTGGGTGGTGCAGAAGAGTCTCTGAATGTCAGCAGAGAGCTGGGCGAAGGTTTCTTGGGGATTAACCACCCTCCCAAAGCCAACCTCCACCCCCAGCCCATCCTCAGATAACAGCATTTTCCCAAGCGGCACTCCTGGAATTATCTGCTTCGTAATCATCTGGGGGTCCTGTAAAAAAATGCTCGTGTACCCCACCACAGACTTTCAGAATCAGAATCATGGTGGGTAGGACCTGGAACTGAAAGTTTTTAAAAGCAGCTTTCTTAGTAGAATAGTTTTTAGATTTATGGGAAAATTGGGAAGATGGTACAGAGAATTCCCACACTCCCCACACCCAGTTTCCCCTATTATTAACATCTTACCTTAGTATGGTACATTTGTTACAATTAATGAGCCACTAGTCATACATTATTATTAACTAAAGTCCATACTTTATCCCGATTTCCTTAGTTTTTACCTAATGTCCCTCTTCTGTTCCAGGATCCCACCCAGGACACCACATTACATTTAGTAGTGATATCTCCTTAGACTCCTCTTGGCTGTGACAGTTTCTCAGACTTTCCTTGTTTTTGATGACTGTTTAAAGGAGTTGTGGTCAGGTATTTTGAAGACTGTGCCTCAAGTGGGATCTGACGTTTTTCTCATGAGTAGACTGGGAGAAAGCACACAGGTGAAATGACATTTTCACGTTACTGAGGGTGCATGCTGTCAGCGGGACTTCCCACTGCTGCGGTTAACCTCTGTCACCCGGCTGACAGTTCGTCAGGTTTCTACCCTGTAAACTTGGTTCCCCGCCTCCCTTCTCACACTGTACTCGGCGGAAGTCACTGTGCACAGGCCACACTTGAGGAGTGAAGAGTTACGCTCCACCTTCTTGAGGGTGGAGTATTTACATAAATTATTTGGAATTCTTCTGCACGGAGTATTTGTCTATCCTGCCTCATTTATTTATTCAGTCATTTCTATCAGCATAGGCTCATGGATATTTTGCACATTGGGTTATGATCCAATACTCCTTTGGTTTGTTGCTCAGATCGTTCCCGCTTTGGCCATTGGGAGCTCTTTCAGTTCGCCCGGGTGTCTCTTTGACATACGGCATCGCGTGTGTGTGTGTGCGTGTGTGTGTGTGTGTGTATGTGTGTGAGTGACACAGGGAGCGAGCGCGCGCTCTGGCGCTACAAGGTGCTCCAGGCTCATCTTGTGTCATTTCCTGCCCAGTCCTAAAACCAGCCATTTATCCGAGGGGCCCTGGTTCCTTTTATTGGAGAATGGTACTAAAAACTAAGATCTGAGCACTAGGCCTGCTCGAACCTGAATTTTTAACACGCTCCCACCAGCTATTTTTTATGAAACCAGAGTTAGGGGACGTCCGCTCTCCGTTTCTTTCACCGCCTCTCAAGTATTCCCCTGGCCTCACCAAACCAGTGTCAGCGCCCGCCGGCAGAGGGCGGAAGAGAAGGCAGACCGGTCCCTTCTCACCGCCGAGGCCTTCCCGAGAGGCGGACGCGCGATCGGGCGCGGGGCGGGGACGAAGCTCTGCGCCAAGAGCTGTCAGACCCGGGCGGGGCGCGCGTGCTTTCCGCCAGGGGCCGGGTGCTGTCACGTGACGGCCTGCGGTCAGCTGACTAGGGCCCAAGTTCGCCGCAGAGAGCGACCGCCGGGGCCGGAGGCTGCTGCTGATTGGTGGAGGAGTCCATCCACTGGGCGGGGCCTTGACGGTGGGAGCTACCATTGGCTTGTGCCGAGTCACGTGGGGCGTCGTACGGCGCACCAGGAAGAGAGAGGGTCTCCCTAAGCGGACGTGTGCGCATGCGTCGAGGCAGGGGGTCGCCGATTGGAGACCGTGAGTCACGGGGCGGTGCGCCCGGGCAGGGGGGGGCGGGGGCGGGGGGGGGGGGGGGCGCGCGCCGAGCTACGAGGCCGCTAGTTGGTCGGCGCGCATCACGTGGTGCCGGGCCGCAGGGGGCGTGCGACGGTGCGACGTCGACGCAGCCCGCTAAGCTCCCCCGACCCGTCTGCGCCCCTCGGCCGCCGCTGAGTCCTCCGAGGGCCGGGGTCTGGCGGCTCTTGAGTCCTTCTGCCGCCGCCATGGACAACTCCGGGAAGGAAGCGGAGGCCATGGCGCTGCTGGCCGAGGCGGAGCGCAAAGTGAAGAACTCGCAGTCCTTCTTCTCGGGCCTCTTTGGGTGAGAACGGCGCCGAGGGGCGGCTGGGGCGAGGCTGGGAGGACGCCGGAGTCACGGCCCGAGGCGGCGGGGTCGGGGCGGAGGGGATGCCGGGACCAGGGGACAGCGTCCCAGGCAGCGGAGGGGACCCGGGCGGAGGGCCGGGGCCGGGCTGCGGCGACGCGGTGTCGGGAGAGACGGCCTGAGATGGCTGGGGGGGCCCTGGACCCAGGACACCGGGCCGCGGCGACACCGTCGTTCGGCAGGAAGGGGACCCAAGGCTGAAGACGGGTCGAGAAGCGTTTGGAGCTCCGGGAGGGCCTGTCTGAAGGGTCCCAGAAGGGCGTGGCGGGACCTGGGCCGAGGGGCGCCTCCCGCACGCGTCGGCCTTCCCGGCGCCGGCGGCGGTGGGTTTGGGTGAGCCCGCGGTGATGGACTGGGAGGTGCCCGCGGCGAGCGCTGCCCTGGGTGATGGAGATCGGTGTAGGAAGACCCTACAGTGGATGGAGAGCTGAGCGGATGTTCCCGGGGGAGATGGCCTGCGCTGCGGGGCTGGAGGCTGGGGTGGGGTGGGGGCTGGGTTTAGGAGATGGAGCCATAAGAGGGAGAGAAGGAGGAGGAGGAAACCCAAAGGGGCAGAAAGCACAATGTGTGGTCGTGGAGTGGGGATGGGGCGTGTGAGCAGGACGACCGGCTGTTGAGACTAGGGCCTGCGCGGGGCCGGGAGACAGAATTAGCCGACAGTCTGGTAGACATTTCAGATCAAGTTCACGTTAGCTCGTGAAAGTCGTTCTGGTGACCAACCTTGGAGGACTCTTAGTGGCTTGGGAGTGCCAGAAGCCCAGGTTTGAAGAGTGGCTCTGCTGCTTCACGACCTCGGGTGGGTTGTTTAATTTCCCTGTTAGAGGGGATCGTTGGTAAAACCTGTCTCAGATATTTGATGCTA